TTGTGTAAAGAATAAATAAATTTTTGATCAAATTTTTTTTAAAAGTAAACAACAATTTCGCGAAATATGCTTTTAAGTGTATTATGTAATCAGATGAAGTTTTCATAATTCAAATCAGGAACTTTTTGAAAACGTACTGTTGAGTTTAAAGTATGTGATTTTGAACTAGTTGAGTTGTAAAGGTTTATTAATTCTTTTTAGTAGGTTGCATGCTTTTATACCCTTTTGCATTCCTCGAGTTGAAATATTCGTATAAGTGATCAAGTGGAAGTCTATAAGTATAAATATTGATCAGACTAAATTTCAATGTGTTAGATCAGATAAATTCAAAATCTAAATTATAATTATTGAACTAGATTTTGTATACAGTTTGAATCATTGATTTCTATTTTGAATTAAGGTGGTTATATTGAACTTCAAGTCAATTTAGATGTGAGCATGGAGTCTCATTAATTAAAATAATAATCTATATCACCAAGGCTTTAATCAATTAGTTTGTTGGACTTTTGTTGTTATTATTAGATTAATACACATCATTCAAGAGATATTAATTTCATACTCACTGGTCTTAAAGATATGTGGTGATTTTTGTCATCTTGAATGTTTCTTTTTTGAAAACAGTTTACTTATAATTCGTAGTTACTACAACGTATATATAGTCTTGATAGTTAAAAATATGTATTCCAAGAAAGAAATAACATCAGATGATCAGAATGGTCCTATGACATGAATCATACATGATTATTATATTCTTGGACTATTGTAAAATTTGATTGAAATCATTAATTATTCAAATTATTATAACTTGGAAAATGTTCATTTGAATGTAATTAATTAAAAGAGAAAGTTCACCAAACAAATTTTTGAATTCATGATCAATCACTAAAAACAGACAGTCCATTGTTCATTTGCACCGATAATATTTCCATTCAAAAGTAACACTTCATTTCAAGACATTATTTGTACAACAGATAATTGATCCGTTACATGGTCTTCCAAGGGTGATAAAAACTGATATGGCTTCAATTTTCCAATGTTGATCAAGATACAGTTGAAAAAAACAAAAAATATTTTTGCTTCTCATCACTGATGCGGTCAATCCATGTTTGAACATATAACATTGGATCAATTGTGCATTTTTCATGGAAAAGCTCGTTCAATTTGGCATAAATTGGACTTGATGAGGAAAGAATAATTATTGATCGATGATGATCATCATCATGATTTGAATGATTTTTACCCTACTTTTTTAAGATCTTAACAACTACAAGTCAAACGAATAATCAAAAGATAGTAGTATAACAAATCCAAAGAATCCAATCATTGTAAATAATTGAGGTATTCTTTTCCATTGTTATCTGTATATTAACACTTCTTAATATCTGATATGTAAATAACAACTTGTATATGATAAAATCTTGTAAATTTTTTGTTCAACATTAACTATACCAGATCAGTACATGTTCTAGCAAACAATCTTATGATCAGAGATGAGAATACAAATTTCATTCAAGCAACGTCTCATTTAAAATAGATTTGAAAAGATGTATTGTACAAAACATAAATTACATTTTGTTTGTTGTAATATGGTTGTAAGTATCAAGGAGTTACGTTTATAAGAATTTTAAATTTCGGGAAATTTTCAGGGGTTTTTATGTGCATGAATTTGTCAAACTTTATCACTAATTTCTTTGAAAACTAGTTGTTTATTCGAAGTTACTATAATGTATAGTCTTATAATAGTTGAAGGTATTCATCAATTCATGGAAACTATAGTCATTAGATGATCATGGAATGGTCTTGAAAGACATGAATCACAATATTCACGTATAGTCTTGTATATAACATATATAATGAACAGCTTGAAGACTACTACAATCAATTTATAAAATATAATAGCTTATCAAACAAATATCAGTTGATCTAAATCAATCAAACGTGAAATATATGAATAAATAGCTTCATTTATTATCATAAATTAAATATTGAATCATATTCTTGATCAGGGCGGTAATCATATAACTAATATCAATATAAAACATAAGCTTCTAGCTAATTTTTGATGAGAATATTAACATAACATGAGGTTCCAAAACTATACTGAAAACACAGCATTAAGCTGAACAGCTAGGTTACAATATGATCAAATTCAAAATTCAACCATGGATATTCTTTAAAATATTAAAAAATGAAAATAAAAATGAAAATTTAAGGAAATTTAAATCTTTATATATGATCGGATTTTGTGCAGGATTTGTGGAGAGGACCGGATCAGATCGAAACAAGATTTGTGTATATGGTTCTAATTTGTAAATGTAAACGAACAAATTCAAAGGTGTTGAACGCTATATTATCAAACAAACAATTGCAAATCAGATCAAACAATGATTAGATCCATTATCCAAAGTAATCAAATGGTATCCAGATATTTCTGAGAAAAAGATGGTTATAAACTATTCACCAATCACACTAATTCCATATTAAGAATGGATCTAAGGTTAGATTTTTGGTAAATCAGCCATATAATTAGGGAAATCTGTTTGCAACATTATGGTGATGTGGATATGTGTTATGAAAACCTGGGAAGTAAACTTTATCTTCTACTTAGTATGTAATTATGATCTGAATTATGATCTGAATTTGGATCTGTACAATTCAATTGATCTACGTGTTGTCTTTGTGTATATTATGTCGCCAATTATTTATATAAAATATGGTATCTTGTATTTTGTAGTACATCAAGAATAAAGAATATGTATTGGATGTTGACTATGTGGCTTCAATTATCTAGTGGTTAAACTACGGGTTAAACTACACTTCAATTAGCCATAAACAACGTACTACAAATATGAATTTAAAAATCAATAAACAAATCAAAAGAATATCATAACCATATAGATTAGATATAATCCTTTGTATTGTTATGTATATTTATGATATTGTATAAACGCTTCAATCAAGTCATAAATTAATACAAAATCATTTGATCTTAGCGATCATGATATATTAAAACAATGATTTTAAACACCTTCTTCAACAGCTAATCCTTTATTAATTATCTTCAACAACAAATCCGTCATCTTAACTAACAATATTAAAATGACCTTATTTTTCCAAATTAATTACAATTATAACAGGTCATGGCTGACATATATATATAACAAGCGCTTAACAAAAGTAAATATTTCAGGATTTCAATTGATTTATATATTTGAAAATTAGCCGCTGAACTACAATTGAATTAATTGAATCAAAATATGACATCATCTATTAAAACAAATATCAGAAAGATCAAAATAGAAGGACTATTAATCATTCATGGAATATAAGTATAAATAGACTGGTTTTGTTTCACCTTTAGTAATCTATCTTCTATCTTTGCAGATGTAAATTAACTCAAGAAAGTTGTTGATTACCAGAGTATTATACAATAACATTGACCATCCAAGGAAGAACAATTCACAATGTATGCCAAAAAAGCATTTGAGATGTCAGTATCATCAAAGAATTAGCAAAATTTAAATCTTTTCATAAACTCTTGTGTATTAATTATCATGAAGAAGATATAAATAATCTCGATTAATATTTGAAAATTTTTATAAAGTGATGATGTGATGTATTATTAAGTAATCAAAAAAATCATATAAAATAAAGTAATTTTCAGTACAATAACTCCCAACTCTTAACTATTTGCCACTAATCATAAAAGAGTTGTTTTTTCTAATTTTTTCACCTGTGAGCTTATATAGCTAGAAGTTTTCTTGAAGACAGCAGCCCGTGTTCATTTTTCATATTTAATGTAACAAAGTATAAGAAAGTAAGTATAGTTTGGTTCAAATGTTTACATGTTCCTATATGATAAATTGGTATTATATTATTCAAACAAAAAGTAAGGTATGATACATGTTCTTATTATATTAAATATACACATCATTCAAGAGATATTAATTTCATAATCACTGGTCTTCTTTTGGATAGGTGGTTGTTAGAATTTTCTTGAATGTTCATTTCTGAAAGAGTTGTTTATTCGTAGTTACTAGTACAATGTCTAATTATATAGCTGGAAATATGTATATTCAATAAGTATAATATCAGATGATCAGAATGGTCTTAAGACATGAATCATACATGATACATTAAATTCAATTGAATTAGATTTATAAGTTATATTGTAAATTGATTGATATTATCATCAAGTATTCACATTATGACTTCAAAAATATGTTTAACAATCATTGCTATTTATTAAACAAAAATCCAATATCTAGATTTCACAACAAATCAGTATCTGATGATCTGATGAAACCGTTTGTCGTGTAGCGTAGCTCTCACATTATGTTAATCAGTGGTCGTGAAAGATCCCAACTTTCAAAAATAGTGATATCATTGGCTTATATCTCAATACAATACAATGTTAACCAAAAGACAAGCTCCAAAGTATTTCGAGTTTTTGATCAATATGCGCGCGCGGCCATGATGATCATCATCATGATTTTAATAATTTTTACCCTACTTTACTTCTACTTATTAAGATCTAAATCTACAAATCAAACATCTAATCAAAAGGTAGTATAACAATTCAAAAGAATCCAATCATTGTTAATAATTGAGATATTCTTTTTCATTGTTATTTGTATATTAACACTTCCTAAACTGATATGTAAAAGATCACAACAACTTAATGATAAAATCTAATTGTAAATATATTGTTATTAACTATATCAGATCAGTGTTGTAATCCCAGTAAACAGAATATAATCTAAACTTTAAACAGCTAATATTGTTTCACGATAATATTAAGAATTACAATGTTCTATATCACATCATCTAATAGCACATAAAATAAGTTTCACTTTGATTGTAGTCGATATGGTTGTAAATAAGGAGTTTATAAGAAATTTAAATTTCGTGAATTTTTCAGGGGCGCTAAACTAATTTTGTAGAAGTTTTAAAACATTTTTATATGGGATTAAAAAGTGAATTTATAGTACAAACAGTACTTATAGGTTCTGAAATGGTTTCCAGTTTACTTCGTGTGCTTTCCAGATTTTGTACAACTGTTCGTCGTATTCAGAAAGTACAAGTAACAAGTGTTCGCTGGAATCTTGATCATTGCCCAATTCAGCACTAATAGCAGGTTTAGCAGCAGATTTTCTCAATGATGTATAACGCTTGGTTAACTTGTCTAACATGGATTGTCTTGAAGCTCTATTGTTTTTACGTGAATGATGAAACATAATTTATAAGATGTTGTAGTTGATGATTTCTGTATTGATAAAAGATGATATCAAATTAACTTGATAATCTTAAACCATTTCAACTTCTGGTAAAACACCAGAAAGAAGCATATATTTATAATAAATCTAAACTAAATCCAATTTCAAATATATCAAGTCTTTATTACTTCATAGCAGCAATTATGGCTATGATTATGATATAATAAAACATCACAATACATATATGTTCCATTACGAAACTATCACAGCCTAAATCATATGATTATATCATTCAAACAACACAATGATATCACAGATATATCATAATACATAATATGATGCGAACAACAAGTATCATATTGTTTAACATAGAAGATCAATTTTATAAGATCTGATAATTTAAACAAAAATTAATGAAGACTAATACTTGGTTAAAAAAACATAATTATTGATATCAATAGTGTTTTTAGAAGCAACCATAAAAGCTTTTCTTGGTTTTGGAATTCTTTTAGTTGGAATAAATTTTTATATATACACCATTCAAGAGACGTTAGTCAATACTCACTGGTCTTTTTAGATAGGTGGTTGCTAATGTTATCTTGAATGTTCATCTTTGAAATATTAGTTGTTTATACTTGTAGTTACTTAAATCTAGTCTATCTTTTGTGTAATTGAAGAATATGTACTTCAAAGAGATTTGTAAAGACTACAATAAATTAATCACTTGTAAAGTATAATAGCTTATCAAACAAATATCAGTTGATCAAAATCAATCAAACATGAAAATATCTGAATGAATAGCTTCATTTATTATTGTAAATTGAATATTGAATCATCTTGATCAGGGCGGTAATCATATATCAATATAAAACACAAGATCTCAAGTTATTGTAAGTATATTAATCAAAGTATGTTACATTTTTTGAATTATAGAAGTTTGACTAGAGTTCTAAATGAACCGGCACCTTTCAAATAATTTACCTTTAAATTGAATTTAGAGAGTGAAAATGAAATCAAAATGAAATCAAAATTTAAGAAAATTTATATGTTTATATATGGTCGGAGTTTGTTAAATATTTAATATTTATTTTGAGAAGGAGACCGAATATATGTCTTTGTGTCTTTGTGTCTTTAGTATTTACGTGCCTTTGTGTCAATAAATTATCACATTTTGAACTAAATTAAATACTTGTTTGATTCTAAATTTAGCTGTTCTTGTTTATGTTACTTTTGTGTCATTATGGGTTTGTGGTTGTTTACAAAAAATATAAAATTCTTTGAATTTCCTTGTTTTTGTTTTTTTTTTGTTTACTTTTTCTTTTCTTTCATATATCTTTATTTACATCATTATATGGATTGTTCACCATGGTCATTGGTTATATGGTTTTGTTTTTGTTTGTTATTCAATTGATTTCTCAAATTTCCACCATTTATGAACCCTTTGGTGTCACAGCTCTTTTATATTTATATGGATTGTTCATTTTTGTCGTTTATGTTTGTCATTTGTTTTATACAAGGTGTTGTTTATGTTCCAATCATCCATATTTCATCATTCTATTCAGGGTTGGCTGTTGGTGTTTGAACAGATCAGTCATATCAATTTTAGATCATCGTATGCTACGTTTATGGAAAATTTCGTTTTTACCATCTGGTTTATGGTTACGTGGGATTAGAAGAAGAAATTAGTTACAAGTGAGTATGAAGTGGTTATCTAAATGTCGGCATACATTTAGAATTGATGTTTTTTATTTTAAGACTTGGATACTAACTAGTACTACTAACAATCATCTAGGAAGTTACAAAGGATCCCAATTGTTGAATTGAAGGTATGTTAAATTTTTTCAATCATTAATGGGTGATTTATATTAATAAAATGGGGTGGCGCCCATCGTACCTTTAGATTGAATTTCAACCTAATTTATGAACCATTGATACTACTAACATGAATCTAGGAACTTTGCAATATTATATAAATCAGGACAAAAGATTTGAATTCTGTTGTTGTTTTATTTTCCAGGTGGGCATGATCCATTTAGTGTTTCTGAAGCACATCATATTTTGAGAAATCAGGAGCTTCAAATTCAATTATTCATAGAGATATTCCTGTTAATCTTTTGATCCATTCACTGAGATTTCATATTGAGAACGAAGAGATGATTTTATCAAGAAGTGAAATATTGGTTTGATTTGGAGAATGAATCAAGTAAAGATTAGAGATAAAGAGGCTATTTCCACTATTGTGTTTTCAATGTTCAATAATATACTCAGTTCCTAGGTATAGGTAATTGGCCTACAAGTTTTATTCATGCTTAAAGGGATGAAGTTTTGGAAAACGTAAAGCACCAGAAGGATATTCAGTGTGAAGGGAATGCTATCCAACAAATTTCAAAGTAAGAGCTCTAGAAGAAGAAAGTGATTTATATCAAAATCCAAACTACTATTTCACTTCATCACCCATCTTTAAAAGATGGTCATTGCTCTTGAAAGTCAATAGTGAAAAGTTTATTATACTTTTTAGTTTTATAAATGGTTCTTAACCAAAATTTTGGCACACTGATACTACTATCATACATTTAGAGCTTCACCTATTTCAAATGAAGCAATTATTGGTCCCCATATCAAAGTTGATCTATCAAATTGTGAAATTCAAGAACTCAGATGGGGAACGGCACTTCTTCCGGATGAGAAATCTTGTTTTAAAATCAATTTGATCAACAATGGGTCATGAAAATTGAAAATAAAGATATTATTCACTTATACCATACCAAGAAAACCAACATTTGGGGTTTTCAGTTTGAAATGATCCATGAAAATCCATCATAGGTTGATATTACGACCATGCATGGTATGCTCTATGAAGATTATAGATCCACCACAAATTGAAGAAATGCTAAACATTGAATATTGTGCTAAGAACCAGAACTATACAAGTTTTGGTCAAAATAGTCACAATAAATCTAGATATCAAGAATCTTCCATCATCCATTCATATCTAAATGAGCAAACCCCATTAGATTATGAGATAAAGTTCAGTCATGATGAATGATTTTGAACTGGGAGTTATTATTATGTCTATTAGACAAAAATCTTAAAATATGCAAAAAATAAAGGGTACCTAGATATGGGAATGGGAATGTTGAAAAACAATCACTAAAATCACCCATTCCCAAGTTCCCAAATTCCCATATTCAAAAATAAGGAATTTAGATTAGAGTTATGGTAAATAAACCAGAGGTCTGGTAAATTAAAAAAAGAAATAAACCATAACTCAAAATCACAAATTTAATTTCGAAAAATATGATTTCGAAATTCAAAATATCTTGATTCAAACATGATGATTGAAGTCAATGTTTCCATTTGAGACCTGGCTTCATAAATCGATCAATTTCATCAGCCTTGAAAGTAATAAGTTATATCATATAACTAAACTTTAGATGCTACTAGGTGTAATGATGATCCGAATGGATCTTTACAATTTTGATCTAGTTAAATTTGGCCTCAATATGATCAAAATCTGGGTAAAAGATGCCAGAACTCAAGGACACATGCAGGATAAGAAATTAAGCTCAGACCTTAAAGTAATTACGTTGAATATGTAGAATTTATAGGTATAATATAAGATCCGTAGTTTCATTATATTCTTTTATGTATTATACCAAGTTTGTTTTCAAAAGTAATCAAAGCTATATAATATCTAGATTATCAATAAGTGGTTATTGGTGTACTTTATACTACGAATGTATGATAAATGATAAAATAATAATAATATCATCCATAAAACAAATATCAGAAGATCAAAATAGAAGAACTATTAATCATTCATGAAATATAGGTAACATAGCATGATTTTTTTTATTCAACATGTGATTAATGTAGTTATATAAGATATACTTTCATATAATTAACAATATCAACTTATGAAGAACTTTTAAATTCAGTCTTCAAAGTGTAGAATATAAGTACTTTTCAAAAATGATTTCAAAAGAATTGAAAATATTGAAACGTATACAAAATCAATAATGAAGGAATTCTTTTAACAAAGAGTTTAATGAGCAACTAGTGGCATGTATAACAGTTTCACAGGATATCAATTTAACGTGATTTGGATTGCTAGTTATATTAACTATTCAATGCCATGTTGTATCTTTTGTTTATTTGAATTTTGAATGAACAACGCCGACGCGGTACAAATTAAAGTGATGATATAATGTGTTATGTAATCAGGAAGGAATTTCGAAATACGTACAAAATTTGAAATTCTTATACACAAAGCACAATTCATAATGTTACAACTCTAGTGTCTTTGTCAGTAATAACAAATCATCAATGTAAACAGCAATTAATCCGTTTTTTTTCAATTAAATTTCTATTTAATGGGTTGTAAGATATCAGCTGGTTCAAATATACACTATTTTATGATCATTTTTTAATATATCAAGAAAATGTCAAAAATTGTTGTTGGATCTCTATGATACTTGTTATTTAAACATATATCTACTAATATATACACCATTCAAGAGACATTAATTTCATACTCACTGGTCTTGTTCTATAGATAGGTGGTGATTATTGTCTATCTTGGATGTTTATTTTTGAAAGAGTTTACTTATTCGTAGATACTATAATGTCTGAATACATATGTATAAGATTAATATGCATTTCAAGAAAGTTGTAACATCTGATATTGATCTATAGAATTTTAGATTTCTGATATACGCTATTCATGATTTGAGCTTAGTTTACCGCTATAAAGATTTGTAAAGACTACAATCGATTAAACATTTGTAAAATATAATAGCTTATCAAACAAATATCAGTTGATCAAGATATTTCATCACTATCAATCAAGCATGAATATAAGTAATCAAAGCATCATTTATTATAATACATTGTACATTAGATATTGATTTTTCGTGATCATCAGGGCGGTAATGAAATCTCCCTTTTAAAAAACAATCAATATATAAAATTAATGGTATTGCAAGAGCTATGTGAAACATTTGAAAAGAATATAACTTCACCAATATGCCTATGAAAGCTAGTATTATGTAGTACACCATAAATTAAGATTTTATACTATATGTTGTCTATGTTTCAATTATCCATAAACAACAACTACAAATATGAAATTGAAAAGCTGCAATAACAAAGCCAAAGAATATCATAATCATAAGTGTAGATGATCAGTATAATAATCCTTTGTATTGCCATATGTGTATATGTGTAACATATATAAACTTCTTGAGTAAACCATGTGAGCTGGTTGATCATAAAATTGTTCATAAAGTTTAAAATCAAAAAACATGGTACCATAGAGATAGATATCTATAATTTGTAATTACATTGATATAATAGCTGTCTTAATAATTTAACAATTTGTAATACAAGGTTGGATAATAAAAGAACTGGTGAGATAAAATTAGTAAATGTGAAAGAAAAACAATTTTCAGGATTTCAATTGATTTATATTATATTTGAAAATTAGCCGCTGAACTACAAATCAATCAATTGAATCAAAATATGACATCATCTATTAAAACAAATATCAGAACGATCAAAATAACCAATTAGTTATTAATCATTCATGGAATATAAGTAAAATAGTACGATTCAATTGAATAATTAGTAACGGACTCAATTTTGTATAATGTCACAATTCAATGAATCAAATTCTCAATATTCTTATATGAACAGAATACAAAAATTGATATACGTCCAATAATTCTTTAATGTTCCCAATTGATATTGAAAACTTATTCACCACAGGTAAAAACTTGCAAAAGGATATTAAAAGCATAAAAGAATTCAGAAGAGCACATATGGCTATATGGCTATAGTATATTACCACAAAAACAGAAGACCTTTGTATGAATCCGAATAGAAGTCAAAAGTAAATATTGTTTTTATTATAAAAGTATATTGTTTCTTGTTTATAAAATGAAATTGAAATTGATTTAAGCATTCGCGAATAATTACAAGTGTGTTATGTAATCAGTTGAAAAAAAAAGCGTACGTCGATTTATTTAAGATACTTCACTTTTTAGATTATAATAATTTACTCGTCGATTCGAATAGTATATTTGTTGTTCTAATAACCTTATGTCGTTTGTTAATTCCACTTTTATTAAAGATTTCATTTTTTTTCTGATTAATAGGAAATAACAAGCAACAAGCAGCTTTCTTGACTTATATTTTCCTCCTCTGTTTGAAAACTATAATTGGGATAAGTTTTTTGAAGTATTGAGTATTGAGTCTTGATCTCAGATTTATCCTAAATATATTAATGAGATTTTAACCATTTGGTTTGTCAAGATTGTTTCAAACTTGTGCTGTTATCATTAGATTAATATACACCATTCAAGAGACATTAATCGATACTCACTGGTCTTTTTAGATAGGTGGTTGTTATTGTCCAATCTTGAATGTTTACTTTTTGAAAGAAAGAGTTGTTTATACTTGTAGCTACTATAATCTATCTTCTATATAATTAAAAATATGTACTTTAAAGAGAGTTGTAATATCAGATGATCAAGATGAGTATATACTATTTATGATTTGAATTTAGTTTACAAAAAGATTTGTATTAAGCTGACTACAATCGAATTAATACATGTAGAATATAATAGCTTATCAAACAAATATCAGTTGATCAAAACAACAAATCAGTTATCAATCAAACATGAATATAAGTAATCAAAGCTTTATCTATTATTGTAAATTAAATATTGAATTATTTTGAATGCAGTAAAGTGCTAATCATATAACTAATATCAATATAAATTAACATAGTTCATTTCAAATTTTAAATCAAAACATGAATAAGGTATGAAATAAAAAGCTATTGTAAAGCAGCTATACCGCTAATGGAAAATTACCAAACGACTTCAAAAACATTTATAAAAAAGCATTTGAAAAATATTTAGAAAAATGGAAATGAAAATGAAAATTTAAGGAAATTTAAATCTTTAAATATGGGTCGGAATTTGTGGGGGTGATCGGATCTGAGAAATGTAAACAAACATAATTAAAGAGGTTGAATACTACTTTATACACACAATTATCAAATAAACCATCTTTCTTTAGATCAAACAATAATTAGATTAATTATCCAATGTACTATGTACACAAACTCAATTCCAAACAGAAAATGTGGGAATCCTGTTTATCCATACAAATATATCCATCTTTGTGTCAATAGTAAATACGTCAATACATAATACATCTTTGTGTTAATAAACATTTTAAATTAAATTACATACATCTGATGCTAAATTTAGCATTTTCCTTAGTGAATTTCACGTATCACTTTTGTGTCATTGTGGGTTTGTGGCTGTTCACAAAAAATATAAATTTCCTTAAATTTCCTTGTTTTTGTTTTTTTTTTAATTTGTTTACTTTTTCTGTTCTTCTCATATCTACATTTACATCATTATGAATTGTTGAGTTCTGAGATTTTGTTATTATGCTTACAAGATTTTGTTTGTTCCATTTATATCTCAAATTTCCACCATTTATGAACCCTTTGGTGTCACAGCTCTTTTATCTTTTTTATATGGATTGTTCATTTTTGTCGTTTATGCTTATCATTTGTTTTATACGGGGTGTTGTTTATGTTCCAATCATTTATTAAGAGATTTTTTATGTCATCATTCTATCCAGGGTTGTTGTTGGTGCTTGTACAGATCAGATCATTTATCATTTGTTTTATACGGGGGTTTTGTTTATGTTCCAATCACCCATATTTCATCATTCTATTCAGGGTTGTTGTTGGTGTTTGAACAGATCAGATCATTTATACTACATTGATATCACACAATTTGTAATATGATCTATGGATATGTGGGATTAGAAGAAAAATTTAGTTACAAGTGAGTATACTACATCACATTGAAGGTTTCACAAAATGTCGGCACACATTTAAAAAATCTTTTCAAGGTTATAATTATGATACTACTAACATTTTCTAGATATTTCCCTTTAAATGAAACTGATTGATTAAAATGAATGATTTTGATAAAATAGATATTGAGCTTGAGAACTTAAATTATAAAGGTATGTGAAATTTTTTTACCGGCACACCTAATTTTGAATTGTTTTCTTTTTTTCATTTTAAAACTTGGATACTAACTAGTACTACTAACAATCATCTAGGAAGTTACAAAGGATTTCAATTGTTGAATTAAAGGTATGTTACATTTTCTCAATCATTAATGGGTGATTTATATTATTACAATGGGGTGGCGCCCAGATAATAATAAACATTCAGATTGAATTTCAACCAAATTATGAACCATTGATACTACTAACATAAATCTAGGAACTTTGCAATATTATATAAAGCAGGACAAAAGATTTGAATTATGTTGTTGTTTTATTTTTTTGGTGGGCAATCAGGACAAAAGATTTGAAATCTTTCTTTTTATTTTTTTGGTGGACATGATATTTTGGGAAATCAGAAGGTTCAATTTCATTATCCATAGAAATATTCCTGTTTTCTTTTGATCCATTCACTAAAATTTTATATTAAAAAACAAGAGATGAAATTATCAAGAAGTGAAGTATCAATTTGATTTGGAGAAGGAATCAAGTGAAGATTAGAGAAAAAGAGGCCATTTCCACTATTGTGCTTTCAATGTTCTATCATATACAGCTGTCGTACAAGTTTTATTCATGATGGAGTTTGGAAAACTTAAAGCACCAAAAGGATATTCAGTGTGAAGGGAATGTTATCCAACAAATTTCAAACTAAGAAGTGATTTAGATCAAAATTCAAACTACTATTTCACTTTTCATCTCCCATATTCAAGAGATGATAATTGCTCTTAAACGTCAATAAAGAAAAGTATGTTATATTCTTTAGTTTAATAAATGGTTGTTTAACCAAAATTTTGGCACATTGATACTACTAACATACGTTTAGAGATTCACATTTTTCAAATGAAGCAGAATAATTAAAGTTTCAATTATTGGTCCCCATATCAAAGTTGATCTATCAAATTGTGAAATTCAAGAACTCAGATGGAGAACGGCACTTCTTTCAGATGAGAAATTTTGTTTTGAATCAATTTGATCAACAATGGGTTATGAAAATTGAAAACTAAGATATAATTCACTTATACAATTCCAAAAAAACCAACATTTGGGGTTTTCAGCTTGAAATAATCCATGAAAATCCATCATAGGCTAATGTACAAGGTTGATATACCATACAAGGTATGCTCTATGAAAATTATAGATCCACCACAAATTGAAGAAATGCTAAAGATTGAATATTGTGCTAAGAACCAGAACTATACAAGTTTTGGTCAAAATAGTCACAATAAATCTAGATATCAAAAATCTTCCATCTTACATTCATATCTAAATGGTCAACCACCATCAGATTATGAAATAAAGTTCAATCATGATGAATGATCTTGAACTGAGAGTTATTATTATGTCTATTAGGCAAGAATCCTTGAATATCCAAAAAACAAAGGGTATCTAAATATGGGAATGGGAATGACATTCACTTAAATCACCCATTCCCAAATTCTCAAATTCCTATATTCAAAAATATGGAATTAAGATTAGAGTTATGGTAAATAAACCAGAGGTCTGGTAAATTTTAAATAAAGAAATAAACCATAACTCAAAATCACAAATTTAATTTCGAAAAATATGATTTCGAAATTCAAAATATCTTGATTCAAAATTGATGATTGAAGTCAATGTGTCCATTTGAGACCTGGCATCATAAAGTGATCAATTTTATCAACCTTGAAAGTAATAAGTTATATCATATAACTAAACTTCAGATGCCAAGAGGTCAGGACTCAAGGATACTTACAGGATAAGAAATTTCACTAAGAGTAACCTTATATCTCACAGTAGTGCGTTAAGTCTGTAGAGTTTATAGATGTATAATATAGAATCTGTAGTTTCATTATATTCTTTTTGAGTATTACACCAAGTTTGTTTTTGAAAGTAAATAAAGATATACAGTGTTTATATCATAAACTTGGTCATTGGTGTAGCTTATACTAGTATCAACATTTAATTCACTACAAATGTACGATAAATCATAAAATAATAATAATAACGTCATCATCTATTAAATTAACAAATATCAGAAGATCCAAATAGAAAAACTATTAATCATTCATAAAATATAAGTCAAATAGCATGATTTTGTTTATTCGGTATACGATTATTGTAAGTATACAGAGTTCAACTGATTCATAATTAACAATAACTTATGAATAATATTTGTTTGATTTAATAATTGTCAAATCTGGCCAATTTATGGGCTTATTTGGATTGAGGGAGCTCCAGACCTCCAGAGCATTATGATCTATCAAAATATGGATGTCTGAGTGTAGAAACAAACCTTTCAAAGAAGCCAATGCATGCTGATAGGCATCAACAATGATCAATACATAAAGCATTTGAATTTCGAAATGAACTACGTCAAAGTCGTTTGTTATGTAATCAGAAAAATATCGAGATCAGATACTACAAATTTAAAATTTAAAATTTTCATATACAAAGTAGTAAGTACAATTCCTACTAGCTGTACTACAATTCTATTTTGTTTAAGTACATCTTGTTAAACATCAGGTGTTGCATATTTTGGTGGCAGCTATACTGTTAAACTCGAAAAGTATAAATTATTGTTTTGAAGTCTTTTTGATCATATATATTTAATTACCAATTTGATCCATATACAATATTTTATGATTTTTTAGTATACATTAAGTAAAGAAAATATCAAAAATTGTTGTTGGATCTCTATGATACCTGTTATTCATACATATATCTAATATACACAATCATTCGAGAGACATTAATCGATACTCACTGGTCTTTTTAGATAGGTGGTTGTTAATGTCCATCTTGAATGTTCATTTTTGAAAGAGTTGTTTATTCGTAGTTACTACAATATCGAAACTTGTATGAAAAACATGTATTCCAAGAAATTGTAATATCAGATGATCAGAATGGTCCTAGGACATGAATCATACATGATAAATACTCTTGAATAATATGATTAAATTATATATATAATTGACCATGTTTTTGAGTTCTCATTTGTCATTTATAATAAAATTAATTGGCCGGTGGGCAAAAGAAACTATCTCAAGCATATAAGGAAAAGATCATAAAAAATGTGTTTATTGCAGCGATCAAAATAAAATACCCATGGGAGATCAAACGCCCAAGTAAAAAGCAACTAATCAAAGAATTAATTAATGATTCTCATGTCAATTGTTTTCAAATTGAATTAACTGAGTTGTGTCCAATTTTCAAATTTTTGAGTTTGTTGTATGTTATGTAATCAAAGGAAGACGTTGAAACTCTCTTAAATATAGTTAACTTAAATTTATAATATACATTAATATAACCTTTAAAAAAAATATTATTAAATTAAATATGGTTAAGAACTTGACATTAATCAAGAGAAATCAGTATATAAAATATGAATGGAAATTCAATGTTGTTGTTAAAAACAGAGATATATTTTTCATCGTTAAATGTATATATTTTATCGCTATAAGTTGATCCTTATATTAGATATCGTAATAGTACTAAAGACTACAATAAAATCACTTGAAAAATATAATAGCTTATTAAACAAATATCAGTTGATCAAAATAACCATCTCAGTTATTAATCAAACATGAAATATAAGTAATTAGCATAATTTATTATTAATGTGAATTTATATAATGATCTATAGTCAATATCAGGGGTAATAATTAATCTCCCCTTTTTAATAAACTATCAACAACAATAAAGACAATATTCATGAATTATAATTTGAGAAACATAGGAAAACACTGCTAACGAATTTTTAATTATATAGCAAAACACAAATCAAAACTAACAAAAAGGCTTTATCTGATATATAATATATCTTGATATATTCAAATTAATATTAGAAAGAAAGTTTAAAATCAAGGAAAAAATTCAAATCTTTAAATATGCAGAAAAATGTCGAAAATGATTATATAATCAGATACTGATATTTTAAATTAAATGTTTAAAATATCAATCAATTGAGTGTTATATCTTTTAAAAAGACCATATATAGTGAGATTGGATATCAAATACTATATCTATACTTTAAAATCACTTAAACCTGCTGTTTAAATTTCCATGAAATTAAAAGATTTCAAATAATATACATCTAATAAATCTTAAATTAACTTCAAAAAACCATTCATCAAATATTTTCAAAATTTCAAACTCAAAAATATAAAGAAATTATTACTCATATGCATAATATAAGCCCAAAAGTGCATACTAACTTGATTTAATCACCCTTTTGTCTACTAAAAAATTGATGTTTTGGTTGTTTTGAAGTTATTTGAGCTCTTTGAATTAAAACCGACTAAGTCCGTGTAGGACGTGTATTCTTAGTAAGCAGTATAAGCAAAAAGTGCTGATAATCAGATCCAAGTTCTACTTTAAGGGTATTTTACAAGATGAATAATTATAAAGCACAAAGAAAAGCATGTATTTTTTATTTTGAATTCATATCTAATGAACTATATATATATATTTGTGTATATTCAACATCTTATCAAAACTTTTAATTATTCATAGACAAATTAAACCAAATGTTAAAACCATGGAAACTGAAACAAAACTCCATAATGAATTCATCAAGATTGAAGCATCACTTGATTTATCAGAATTTGAGCTTGATGATGATCCACTTGAACTTGAACCACTTGAAGAAGTTGAAGTAGATCTTGAATTTGATCCACTAGATCTTGAACTTCTTGGTGAACCACCTGAACTACCAGAAGATGCAATTTGTGAATCATCAGAATTTGTGAAAATATCACCACCAGTACTTAAACTTGCTTGTGATGACCATGATGAACTATATGCAGCAGCTCTTGAAGCACTTGGAACTGAATCAGATACAACTTCAATATCTGAATCATCAGTATATTCAGCTTGTGCTAATGAAATTTCTAAATCATCTAAATTATAAACAACATATGCTGATCTTAAAAATGAATCACCTAATATTATGGAATCATCACCTGAATCAAATAACCCTAGGACACATTGTGAACTTGATGATGAAGTTTGTAAAACAATATCTTGTAATGGAACACGAATTAATTTACCTTGGAAATCATAAACTATATAACCATCATTTGATCCATAACATTTTGTAATATAATAACCCGAGGTTCTTGAATAATCTGCATTTAATTTACTTGCAATTTGACTAATAACAGATGAAGGCATATAAGTTAATGTTGTACCTGAATCTAATAATGCAGGGATTTGAGTTGTTGTAATAGTTTCTTGATTATCATCATTTTCTAAACCAATACCTGAAAGGGTAATTTCTAATTTTAAAATTTCACTAAAACCTCTAGATTCTAATGTATTAATTAATGGAACTGTAATAAGAGTACCTGAATATTTTGAATGATCAACACCACCAAATAATATAGTACCCGAGTCAGCATCACTTGAATCTAAAAATAATGAATAAACTCTCTTGTTAATTAAACCATCTTGAACTAATTTTGAAGGGAAATTTGGATATGTATAAGAATTGCCACTCGAAGCTGAGGAACCTGATGAAGTAGTTTCTAAACCTTCTAAACCAATCCCCAAAACACCCACAGTAGAATTTGTTTCATTAGCAACTGCAAATGATAAGCTTGAAACTTTTGTACCACCAACAGTAACATCATCATGACCCCAAGTACCATAAGCAAATGAACCATCACCATAAACAATATAAAATTCTGTATTATTTGATTTAAAAGTTGAAGAAGATTCAACATCAAATGTACCATATTCTGAACAATCTATTGTTGCTTGTGAAGAATCTACTTGAGTTTGAGAAGCTAAATTTGATGCAGAAGCTGATTGAGTTTGGAATGGTGATCCACCACCTCCATTACCACCTTCACCAATATCTTTTTGAGCTATTGGACGACGATGACCTAAAGTTACATTAACATTTTCATTAAGGAAATCTAAACTTCTAAATTTATTTGAATTTGATGAACCTGATGAACTTGAAGAACTTCCACCACTTGAACAATATGGATTATTTGAACCTGTAACCCAAAGATCTGAAGAACCAGTATCAATAAGTACAGTAACATTTTCAGTATGATCACCAATTAATAAACTAACTGAATAAAATGATTTTTCATTTTCTAATGTAGTCTGTATAGTACCATCTGGAGAATCTCTTTTAACAAATCTTGTTCTCTTATCTTTATGACTTGATAAATAATCATCACCTCTACTTATATCAAAATTGAAACCTTGAACACCTGCAATGTTTTTAGCAATGACATTTGATGCAAGGAAACCTAGTGAAAGTAAAGATAGTAATTTCATTGTTATAATACTCTTTATTCTCTATTCAATCAATAGTCTATAAGCTTTTAAAACCAAGTAAAACTAGTAAAACCAAGTAAAAACCAAGTAAAACCAAAATTAATTATAATATTAGCAAACGCGCAGTAAAAGAGGCGGTGAATACGTGAATAATTAATATCTGAAAACCCACAATTACCAACTAGAAACCACTCAAATCTTTTCCAAAACCGAGTATCTTCTCAATAATCCAATAACCAACAACAACCAAAAAGATGAGAATACCAGATCCTCTATTTCTTTTCTTTGTAATTCACGTTGAGAATGTTTCCAAATGTTTCATTTTTGACCCATTGACAATCAAAATTGAAATTCCATACGCTAAAAATAAAATTAAAAAAAAAAAAAAAATCTTGAAAAAACCGTTTTTTGCGGTGATTATGTAAGTTTTGTACGGGTGATTATATAAGGATTTAATAGGATTTACGTCAATATCTCCATTAAATTTATGAATTTTTACATTTAATTGGTGGAATTGGTAAGGGATTAGTTGTAAATCTGAGAGATATTGTACTGTGCTATATAGAGTATTGTAGATTGTTGTTGTTGGTGAATTGCCGTTTTTATGATTGGTAAAGTAAGGGTCTCGGTCGATCTTATATAGGAAATCAGTATAAACTTCTCAGAAAATGAGAGCTATCAAGATTAGATCTTTAAAGATTTACTTATTTAAGAGATTTCCATGAGTTATTTATGAGATCATTTTATGAGAAGTTTTCACAAAATTTGTCTCATTTGTCCAAAATGTAAAGATCTGTAATATATATGTTAATATGATGATATCTTATCGGATATGTTAAATTGTTTAAATCTTAACGACGTATATCATGATTTATGCAGAATTGAATATATCGTATTAAATATTAAAGTTTAGTTAATGACGACATGATGACATATATTGTTAATTTACTACACGTAGTTCACAAACTCATAAGCATTAAGCATTATACATATCATAAGCAAGAATTAGATTAAATACTAATAACACCAATTGTTAACCCAAAAATCATTAAAATCATTAACCAAGATGAATTTTGTAAATTTGAAGCTGAACTATCTCTATTATTACCAGTATTTGAATTTGAACTTGATCCAATCCCAGAACTACTAGTTGATGATGCTCTAGAACTTGTACTTGATGAACCACTTCTATTATCATTCCCACCACCAGCACTTGTTGAAACTGCTTGACTTTCATCAGAATTTGTGAAAATATTACCATTTGAATCATCAGTTCTTCTACTATCATTTTCTTCCCATGTAGAACTATAATCTGAAGCCCTGGAAGCACTTGGTACAGAATCTGAAATAACTTCAAATTGTGAATCCCCTGAATCATAATTAGCTTGTGCAAGGGAAATTTCTAAATCATCTAAATCATAAACAACATAAGCTGATCTTAAAAATGAATCTCCCAAGATTAATGAATCATCACCAGATTCAAATAACCCAAGGACACATTGAGAATTTGATGTTGAAGTTCTCAAGACAATATCTTGTAATGGGACATGAATCAATTTACCTTGGAAATTATAAACTATATATCCATCATTGGCACCATAACATCTTGTTATATAATAACCTGTACTTCTTGAATAATCTGCATTCAATACACTAGCAATTTGTCTAACCAACTGAGAAGGCATATAAGTTAAAGTAGTCCCCGAATCCAATAATGCAGGATAACGTTGTGTAGTCACTGTTCTTTCAGTACGATCATTTTGTAATCCAACCCCAGAAAGTGTAATTTCTAATCTTATAACATTTTGGAATCCACGAGATTGTAATGTATTAATCATTGGTACTGTTATTAACGTACCTGAATATTTTGAATGATCAACACCACCAAATAATATAGTACCCGAATCTGCATCACTTGAATCCAAGAATAATGAATAAACTCTCTTATTAATTAATTGATCTTGAACTAATTGAGATGGTAAATTTCTATACCTATATGGAGACCCTCTATTTGAAGTTCCAGAATATGTGGTTTCTAACTCCTCAAGGCCAATACCTAACACACCAACAGTGGAATTTGTTTGATTTGCTACAGCAAATGATAAACTTGATACATTTGTTCCACCAACATTAACATTATCATAACCCCATGTTCCACGAGCAAAAGTTCTATCAGCATAAACGATATAAAAATCTGTATTATTGGATTGAAATGATGATGAACCACTTATATCAAATGTTCCATGTTCTGAACAATCTATTGTAGCTTGTGATGAACTTGGTCTTGTTTGAGAACCTTGTGTCCCACCATTATTAGTTGAATCTGGTTTTTTATGAATATTATCTAGATTGGGTATATTCAAATCACTAATTAATCTTCCCTTTGATTGACCTTCACCACCTAGTTCTCTTCTTGAATTTGAACCTGTTGAACAATATGGATTATTTGAACCTGTAACCCAAAGATCTGAAGACCCAGTATCAACAAGCACAGTAACTTCATCTTCATGATCCCCAATTCTTAAATTCACAGAATAAAAAGATATTTCATTTATTAATTCAGTTTCAATAGTTCCCTCGGGGCCATCTCTCTTGATTAAATATGGTTTTTTAGAATTATGTGAAGTGGCGAATGAATCACCTTTTGATATTTGGAAATTTAAACCTTGGATACCTGCAATGTTCTTAGCAATTGCGAATGAAAGCAATCCAGTGATTGATAGTAGTGAAGATAGTTTCATGATGGTTCTTTATAGCCTATAGTCACTAAAATATCACCATTGTTGTTGTTGTTTATTGGAATTTCTGGTGTTGATATATAATAGAATTTACCGGGAATGCATCAAAGCACCAAGACAATTCAAATCGTGGGCTATAAACCAATGATCAAAAACAATTTTCACAGGAAATCAAATAACTTGTGATGATTGTAATAATAAGGACTATTCAAAGCCTTGATAATGAGCTATAAGGTATGTTCAACGGGTAAATAAACCTATACTTCATTCAAATAACCACGGTTTTATCGTATTTGAAATGGTTTTTGATGATCCTCCAAGACTTCACAATTTACACAATATAGGCGCAATTTTAATTACTTACATATACAATATTACTGTTAAATAAGATCAAGTATTACGTAAAGTGATTAGTGGCAGAGTTTTAAAGTAATAGCTGTTTTAAGGGATTTAAGAGTTTTAACAGGGCAGAGTTTTGATGATCATCTTCTAGAAGGGTGCTAATCAAGGGTCTTTTTGATCTCTGAGCTGTGTAGAAGTATAGAAGGGTCTGATTGGAAGGGAGATCTTAATATTAGCAAGGGGAATACTTGGCCTTCTGAAGTATCGATCCTTTGAACCCATCTATTTATACTTATCTGTGAAGTATTCCATCATCAACTACGTCAATAAAAACTTTTTCTATCTCGTATTCTTCTCGTTAATCAAATTTAGATCAGCGAATCCCACTTTTTTTTGCGGGAAAACACGGTATGGGACACACAAATATACAGAGTGTGTCAAACAGCAAAATTAAGAAATCATCAAAGCGCGGTTTTAGCTCAGTCGGGAGAGCGTTAGACTGAAGATCTAAAGGTCCTGTGTTCAATCCACAGAAATCGCAATCTTTGTTTTTTTGCATATATTGAATTTTAAAGAATTTCAATAGATGTGTTAATATTTTTTTAATATCGTTGTTTTGATAAAAATATATAGAGCAGTATGGTGTTTTCTATAAGCCTATAACTTCTTCTGTTCTTTTGTTATAATGAAATAAACCATAAAACTTTTAAAGATTTAATATCCACCCGCGAATTTTCTTTTTTTCCATATACAAGATCTTTACCGAGTATTAAATCTTATCAATTTTATCACCATTTCATTCATAATCAAACTTCCACTCGTTTCCAAGATTTAAATCATGTCAACTGAAAAAGAATCAAAACCAGAATTTGGTCCCTCGGGGAGAAAAATCATTTATGATGAAAATGGGAAACCGTAAGTATATGAATTTAATAATACTCATTGTGTCAATTACTAATTATTAATTAATTAGTTGTCGTTCATGTAATACTTTATTAGATTTTAAATCTGCTAATTTAGGTGTCACTGGTGGATTTGGTAAAATAACACCTCCAAAGACATCAACATCATCATCAAATTCATCCACTGCCACTACAACTGCGGGTACAACAGCTGCTGTTATTGGTGCCACTACAACATCAAAAGAATCAACATATCCAAAAGATTGTCCACCAGATGTTAATGAATTAGGTCGTTCAACATGGACTTTCTTACATTCATTAGCTGCAACATATCCTCCAAAACCTAATGAAACACAACAAAATGATATGTTACAATTTTTAAATATTTTTTCCAAGATTTATCCATGTTGGTGGTGTGCTGAAGGTTTTCAAAGTTTTATGGAAAAACCTGAAACAAAACCAAAAGTCACAACACAAGAAGAATTTGGGAAATGGTTATGTGATGCTCATAATGAAGTTAATGAAAGAGTTGGAAAACCAAAATTTGATTGTAATCTTTGGAAACAAAGATGGAAAGATGGTTGGGAAGATGGTTCTTGTGATTAGAAACACAATACCGTTAGGTATTGTTTAGACTTACCTTCTAAACTAGATATCTACATCTGTATAAATTTTAATCGTTAATATGATTCATGTATATAGTCATTATAAATAAAACAAAATCATGTACAAAAAATAAACACATAGTCCCTCTTTTCCCTCAATTAAATAAACTTAAATTTAATGGAACTGAACTACCTCTCCCAGAAGGATATAATTTTTGTTTCCCTTCAAATACTCTTGGTTTAGGTAAATCATTCTGATTTATAAATTTAAATCTTGAATCATCAATTTTTATCCTTTCATTATTTGATCCTCCATTTATTGTATATAATGAACTATCAATCTTGGTATTTGATGAAATTTCTTGTTGTTGAGATGAAGAAGGTGGTGAAGCTGCTGATTTCCCAAATAATCGTTGTTTAAATGATCCTCCTGGTATATGATGATGATGTTGCTGCTGTTGATTTTGAGACTCATGTTGTTGTGGAGCTTGTGATGGAGGTGGAGGAGGAGCAGATTTACCAAATGATGAAGTTGTAGATACTCTCGATGGTGAAGCTGGTGGTGGAGGTGCTTGTGATGGAGGAGCAGGTTGAGGTGGTGGAGGTGGAGCAGATGTTTTTGGTAATGATGGAGCAGATGGAACAGGAGCAGGTGGCGGAGGTGGAGCAGAAGCTCTAGGTAATGATGGAGCAGATGATTGTGGAGGAGGAGGAGGTGGACCTGATGGGTTTGGTGTGGAATTTCCTGAAGATGTTTCATCAACAACAAATCTATCATCTCTTTTATTTTGAATTTCTGCTAAAAATGGTAAACCACCTCCTAAATTAGTTGGAGGAGCTGATGGAGCCGGTGATGTATTTGATGTTGATGGTATAGATGGTGGTGGTGGAGCCATTGGAGGTGGAGGAGGAGCAGAAGGTAATGAAGGAGCAGATGTAACAGGGGCAGGTGGTGGAGGAGTAGGTGGTGCATTTGATGGAGTTGATGGTTTTGATATGGATGGAATTGGTGGTGCAATTGGAGTTGGAGCTTGTGATTTATTTTTATTTCCAACTTTTGCTGCTATAATTTCTGCAAGATTTCCTCCTCCTGTATTTGATGATTGTGGTTTTGGTGGACTTGGAACTGGTGGACTTGGAGCGCTTGAAGCACTTGGTGTTTGTTCTGAAGCTGAGAATCCTGATGGTATGGAATCAACAACATACGAATCATCTCTTTTTTTATTAATTTCAGCCAAGAATGGTAAACCACCTCCTATATTTGGTGTTGGAGCTGGTGTTGATGATTTCTTTGAAGATGGAGCTGGGATAGATGGTGGTGGTGGTGGGCCAGGAGCTGGAGGAGCTGGAGGAGCATTTGTTGATGGTAATGGAGGAGGTGGTGGAGGTCCACTAGATGGTAATGAAGGAGCAGGTGGTGCCATTGGTGGTGGTGGAGGAGCTGCAGGGGCTGAAGGAGCTGTTGGTATAGATGTTGATGAACGATTTGGTCTTGATGAAGGAATACTTGGAGCTGAAGATCCTGGTAGTGGAGGTGGACCTGGTGGTGGAGGTGGTGCAGCATTTGATGGAGCTTGTTTTGTTGGTCTTGATGTTGGGATTGATGGTGCTGAACCTGAAGGTAATGGAGGTGGACCACCATTATTTGAATTTGAACTTGATATTGAATTTATTGAACTTGTAGATTTTTGACGAACATGATCACTTTTTTTAGGTATTCTTGGTGGAACTTTTAAATTATTCTGACCTGGGATTGGCGGTGCTCCTACATTTGGAACTGGAGGTGGTGGTGGAGCTGATGATGGAGTTGAATTTGTATCTTTGGAAGGTCTTGATTTGGGTAGACTTGGAATTGATGGAGCACTTGGTGTATTGGAACTATGATCATTTGTAACAACATGTTTCTTTAGTTTAGGGATACCATTAGCAAATAATCCACCAATTTGTGGAACAGCAGGAGCAGATGGAGCACCAGCACTTGAATCTGAATTATTACCTGGTCTTGATGATGGAATTGATGGTGGGATCCCCATTGGAGTTGGTGCACTTGATGAGGAAGAATCAGTTGGACCCCCACCAACTTTAGGAGCACTTCTATCATTAGTTTGAGCTTTTTTCAATTTTGTACCACTTCTAATATCACCTAATAAAGCATCTCTTCCAGCCATTGGATTTGATGGAGGTTTTGAACTTTTCCCACCCATTGAAGGAGGAGGACCTGGAGGAGGAGGACCACCCATTGGAGGAGGCGGTGGAGGAGGTGGAGGAGGCATCTTTGCAAACACTGAGCTATCAATTGACCGGTTTGTTTGGATCCTTTTGACTTGATCTTTTGATCCAATTGTTGTCGTTTGATTTGATTTAACAAGTTTCAATTGATCTTGTTTTGCCCTAATCGAATTGTCAAAATTTACCCGGATTATTCTTTGGTTTCGCGGTAAAATTTCGATGGTGAAGATTTGAAAAATTCGACAATTTTGACAACTTTTACAAATATTTTGACAACAAAGAAAGGTATGAGATTGGAATTGTGATGAATGGATGGGTGATTTGGAGTATAATATGGTGTTGGTGCTAGTGAGAAGGTGAGGATAGCCCTTTTTTGTGTGTGTTTATGATGATTTTTACTCATTGTAAGGTGATAATGATGGTTTATTTATTTCAACAATGGATATTTTTGATGACAACCATGATAAGGTTATACAATTGTTCATCTTTTATATCCTAATTGTGATCATTTCATCTGTGGTTTCTCCTTTCTTTTGATTTATATTTTGAATTTTCCCTTAATTTCTTCCATATCATTTATTCAATATCCAAACTTCTCAATATCCTTGACCTCTTCGAAGCTCCTTATACCTTTACACCGTGGTATAATGAGTCAAAGCGAGGCCTAGATCAATGTTATTTTTCCCACTACTTTGTTCTGTTTAGAGATATTTTTTACCAAAAAACAGTGTTGATATTCAATCAGATTTACTTGATTGTTTATTCATAAGTATGGTACATTCATTATTATATAACTATAATACACATGTCTTTTGACATTGAATCATATAGAATATTCATTTTTATAGAATTGTACTTATTTGAACACTCTTTTAATCAATTTTTTTTACAATCATGCCATAAATTTCATAAAATCCTTCAAGAAAACGACACTGGGTATAAAACAAATGGTACTCTTCCCCATAAACCATAACCCACCATATCAATCGAGAATAACCTACCATGCTATTCTTCTCTAATTCAAATACCTGCACTCCATTGGATCTCAGATCTCGAATAAATTAGTGCACTTTCGTGCTTCCCAATCGGGCAGATCTACCTACTTTTTGAGACTCTTTAAAGGCCTTTTTTTTCATGAGAAAATAATAACGAGGTAATTTGAACAATGCTGAATGAACTCAACAAGTCAAGGTGATGAATAAGGTTTATGTCTGGTGGTTCATGGATGCTTAGTTAACGAAGGAAGTTATTATTTCATTTCGAAGTTTTGTTGGTGGTTTGTTTGCTTAGGTTTTCAATGTTTTATACTCGTTTTCCACTTTGGTAAAGATGCTTTAATTATGCACAGCTAGAAGAAGAGAGATAAGGTAGGCAAAGTGCAGACTTGATAGAGTACATTAAGTCTCAGACAAATCTCTCAATGTAATTGATTGTTTCGTTGTTGATCAAATTTCACGGTTAAAAGAGGAATCCATTCTTTATGGTAAAATATTCTCAAAACTTGCATTAATCTACACAGAGAATCTGGACATAATTTTATATTGTATTTGATAAGATCAAGATTAACTATAAAGAATAATTAATCCCATATCAAGAGTGCCCCATGATCAAGAGAATATAGCTGAGGGCCATAATTTTCGAAATTGATATGCAGCAAGTTTAATCGAAACTTGTCAAACAAGTTTAAGTATGAGGCTTAAATAACATTTAAAGTTATTCTTCTTTCTTTGGTTAAAAAGATTGCTCTTTGTTCTCAAAATCATCATCAAATGCAACAAGTGCTTTAATCACTGAAGGTTGATCTTTTTTTTTTTCAACATCTAACATTTATTTACATTGGCATTTTACTGAAGGTTACATATCATGGTATGAATTATTGGACATGTCAAGATGTGTAAATTTCTGTTGATCATGATTACTTCTGGAAATGAAATTTCTCCAATTTAGTCGAATCTGGACTTTTGTTTTTTTACAATCCAATATGGAAATTATACATGATAATATAGTTGATCTTAATATGTTTATCATAATATTCAAAAGATCAGATATTATTTATAAATATTGTTCTCATATGATAAAGTTAAGCAAGATTGAGTTAATTGTATCTAATCAAGATTCTAGATATTTAATTCAAGATATATCATCATCTTGTTTCATTTGAAATTTGGTTCTTCTTATATGTTTTGAGTTTTTGTCTCTTTTTCAACTCATTCCGGGACATTTATTACCTTATTCGGTAAAATCTTTTGATCTAGTTTGGAAAGTTTAATTATAAAGTTGGAAAGGTTATAAAAAAGGACAAAAGGTATATTATTACATCAATTTATTATAGCTATAGTCTATTGAGTGATTATGATGACTTTTCAACAGAGCAGACCTGGTACAAGCTCACAAAGGTATGTATATAAATCAACTTCTTTTTTGGACTCTATTCGATATCGGATTTGGTTCAATATGTTTTGATGTGTTTCTATATGTTGATTGAATTAAAATTTTATGTATTTCAAAGCACATTTTATCATAATGCTGCACAGTTTTGAATTTTATTATTATTGAAAAGATTGGACAAATATTTTTAAGAAAAACTTATGATCTGGTTTTAACTTGATTAAACTTGATCAAAAATTTTTCCATAAACGTCTTGGTTTCTCTCTTAAAAAGAATTAAAATTTTTTATACACACAATTTTATATTTTACATGATAATATATGATTCATATCAATAATCATACTTTGATTTAAATTCAATCAAATATATATATATGGTACCTAAATGGAACTAACAATGTCACATTATAGACTTCCCTCATTTAATGAGTTAACGTCAAATTTTTCAAATAATTTACAAATTGAAAGTTCAAATCAAAGTAATAAAACTTCACCAGCTCCAAATAGTGGAATTCAAACACCAAATCAAGTTAGAAATCAACATGAATTAGTTTCAGTTTCAAATGCTGCTCAACAAGTTTCAAATTCAACATCATCAGCAGCAATAGCAGCAGCTACTCATGCTTCAAGTTCTGTTCCACCTCCATCATTTATTCCTCATCAACAACATCAACAACAAACAATTTATCAACAAGTTCCAATTTATCAACATTCACAACATCCAAGTCAATCTGTTCCACCACCTCCAATATCACATATACAACCACCACCACCACCACCACCACCACAACAACAACAACAACATCCACATCATCCACACCCTCAACATCCATTTCATCCTCCACCTCAACAATATCAACCTCCTCAGCAACAACAATTTGGTAGACCTTTAATGCCACAAAGATATCCAAGTGAATTAACAAGATATCAATTCCCTAAACAAGAACCAAATTATGTTACAGCAAATGTATCAAATGATACATTATCAGCACCAAATTCTTCAATCCCACCAAATCAACAACAATTCCCTTCATTATCAACCATGAATTTTAATCATGATAGAAGATTATCAATGCAATATCCTCCATATCCTTCAAAACATGTTAAAAAGGATTCATATGATTCACAAACTTCCCTTAGTACATTAGCTGATATTGCAAGTTCAAATGAAGTTGAAGATGAAGAGTATAAAATTTTTTTACATTCAATGGAAAATTTAATTGATAAATTTAAAAGAATTACAAATACTTTTAATGATGTTAATTATGATTTTTTAATTCATTTAGAAAAATCAATGAATGAATCTAAGGAAACTGATGAAAAAATTAAATTAAATTTTGAATATAAAACAAATGATGGGAAATTGATGAATGAAATTTCTCCAAAGTTTTTAAAAGAATTTGTATCAAATATTCCTATGGTCCCTTTAAAACATACAATTCAAGATATTGATTATGTTCAATCAGTTTTACAAAAATGGTTAAATTTAAAGAAAAAACAAGATGATGAAGATGAACAACAAGAATTACAACCAGAAGTTATGGAATCAATTCCATCAATCCCCAAGACTCCTAAAACCATAAGAAATCAAAGATTGAAAAATAACCATTCAAGAACAAATTCAAGAAATTTTAAAATTCATCAATCAATTTCTGGAGCATCTAGTGGAGGAGGTATAAAGAAGAAACAAGATCATGAACCTTTTTATAAAACAAGAAGATCAAATTCTTCAACAAAATTACCATCATTATCAACAACATCAACAACATCTTCCACGAATGGTTCTTCATCAAATTCTAAAAATGATTCAATTTCATTAGTTGTAAACCCACCAAAACCCGTTATTGATTTAAATGATCAAGAACCTCCAAAGGGTAATATTAACCAGGATTTATCAATAAAAGTAAATTTAAAATGTTTCCAATGTGGTTCTGATGAAACTCCTGAATGGAGAAGAGGTCCATATGGTTCAAGATCTTTATGTAATGCATGTGGTTTATTTTTTGGTAAATTAACAAAAAAATTTGATGAAGGTGAAGCTACAAGAATTATGATGAAGAGGAAAAATCAAGGTAATGGAGATGATAGAAGAATTCCTATTGATTAGGTACAACTATTACGAACAATTACTATTATAACGTTTATTTTCAATTCTTTGTATATCTTTTTTTTAATGTTTTTATAAATATTTCTATACCGCTATTTTACTTCTTTTATATAATTTTAAATTGTTTATATATATTTCAATTCTTTGTGTATTCACTGTAATATTATATGAGGCCACTAGGAATTAAGTTTGAAACAGAATATTCAAAGATGAAATTAAATCTTTTCCTAAAAATGTCTTGCATTTGAATGTCCCTACATTTTTAAGAAATCATGCATAATATAACAAAAGACAACAAGACAAATCTTGATCATTGATCACTGATCACTAGGTAGTTTTATAATAATCATTTATATAACCTTCATCAATTTTTTTATCCTTCCAAAGATTAAACCATTCTTGAAAAGTTGGATTAGTAGTATTAACAGTTGGTATTATTTCACCCCATTTTAAAAAACAACCCAAGATTGATAATTCTTTAAAACTTGAATGTTCAGAATATGGAACTGATAAAGAACTTGAATTTTGAAATTGTTTTAATAATTGGGTTTTATAATCTGTTGATGGTGTTGTTGGTGTTAGAACCTGATTTAAGATTTCCTGAGGGGTTTTGTTTTTTATTGATGCAGTTAAGGTCTTGAATGTATTGAATGACCAGCCTGTTGGTTTTATTTTGATGATTTTTTTGGATGAGAATTGGGATAGGAATTTATTATCTGATAATTTTTGTATTGAAATGATTTGAATTTTGGCACTGGGGTCCTTGGGGTCAGTTGTAAATATATCCAAGTTGAAATTTTCAATACATGATAGGAATTTATATCTTTCTTTTGTTATTAAGATTTTGGAATTAATGGTTTTTGCTAATTGAATATATAATTTTTCTTTACCAATTGAATAAGAACCAATTAAAATTAAATAATCTTGATTTTGGGTAAAATAATTTAATATTGAATTTTTGGTTATGGTATTGTTTATAATACTTTCCAAAAATTCACAAGTTTGTTTAATAACTAAAGATTGTAACATGAATGTATAAACAGGATTCATATAAGTTGTATCAAGATAAATTTCATCCAAAAACATATCTTTAAATAAATCTAAATGTTGTTTGGAAACTCTAAAATCTCCAGTATGTAAAATTCTTTTAATAATTTCACCTTTTGGATTATATTCTTCAAAAAGGAAAATAGCACCACCAGGACAATGATTTGCATCAAATAATGTAACTTTTATTTGTTCAGTTAAATCATGAGGTATACCAAATTCCAATCCAATTATTCTTTCACTGGGTATCTTCATTATGGATTGTAATAAATTCGAAGTTGTCTTTGAGGTATATATGATTCCCTGGGACCATTTTTTACTTAGACCAATATAATGATCTGAATGATAATGACTTAGGAAATATTTATCTATACTGGGGTGATCTTGGAATTGGAATCCATCAACGTTTAATTTATAATTGTTATTGAATGTTAGGATTTTGAAATCTGGTATTGGTTTTGATTGTCTGGGGACCCTTGGTTTACCTCCCTTTGGCTTTGACTTTGTTGTCTTTGTTGTCTTTGATGGTGATTTTGGTTTTGTCTTTATTACCTTTGGTGTTGATTTTGGTATTGAAATACATGCTTCAACATGAGATTCACGATTTGATATTGATAAATTTTCAATATTTAATGAACAAATTGGACAACTGAGATCTTGTTTCATAGTTTTTAAGATGTTATATTGTTGAGATATTAGATCTGGATCATTTAGATTGATATCAGTGGCGATATCAGTGGCAATTTCAATATCAGCATCACCAAGATCACCTAGATCATCAGCAACTTTATTTTGACCATCATCCTTGAGCTCTTCATCTTTAATACCATCATCATCACCTTGACCTTCTTTTTTAGTGTTTTTTATACCTTCTTCTTTTATACCTTCATCACCATCAATCTCATCACTAGTTAAATCAATAACTTCATTAATTTGAACCTCATTTTTTACATGATTCAACTTTCTTTTCTTGAATAGATCTAAAATATCAACCATTACTTAATACTCATTGTTAACTTGAATGATTGTGGTCTTGGTGATGTTGTTGTTGGTGAAGTTTTGATGGTTTTGATAGTTTTGATGGTTTTCTTGCTTTTCTATACACGAAAAAAATAATCCCATAGTAAAACAAATACTAACAAATACTAACAAAATACTAACAAAACTAATATCAATACACCAATACAACTATATAAACTATAGATCATATAACCAATAATACCATGGGACTACTAAGCATAATCAAGAAACAAAAATTAAAAGACAAAGAATCACGTATTCTAATGCTGTATGTAACCAACAATTGATCTCATTGAACCCAATACTAATAGTTATACAGAGGACTTGATAATGCTGGTAAATCTACAATAATATCATCATTATTAAACCAAGACACAACAAAAATAAAACCAACAATGGGATTTGAAATAAATACATTAGAATTTAATCAAAATCAATTAAATATTTGGGATATTGGAGGACAAAAAACTCTAAGATCATTTTGGTTTAATTATTTTGATAAATTAGATTCAATGATTTGGGTTATTGATTTATCAAATTGGTCTAGAATACAAGAGAATTTCAAGGAGTTTAATGATATTATATCGAATGAGAAATTGATGGGATTGAAAGTTTTGATTTATTTAAATAAATTAGATTTGATACCACAGAGTAATATTGATGAATTGAAAACCAGAGTTATTGATTTATTACAATTAAATCAATTGGATCAGGAGAGATGGAAAGTTCAAGAGTGTAGTGCTTATGATTTGAAGAGTTTACACAAAGGATTGGAGTGGTTGATATCATCATAGTTAATAGATACTTAATACTATAATACCTTTAATACTCATTAATACATAATTAATACCCATATTACTCATCTATAACCCCGGAGAATTAGAATTAGAAGTAGAACTAAACAAGATCAACAATTACATAACTAATAAACTAAACTAAACTAATAACAATTGAATTAACCATAAATAAATAAATAAATTGTAATTCGCTTGTTTATTCTTATTTAAATAATTCCATTTACCCTTTATTTCATTAATATTTCAAGTATCCGATTCTCGGAGGTTTTAGGAATTGAAAATTTTATAAAAGCAATTGAATTCCCCAGAAAATAATGAAAACTTTACCAATTGACAACTAGATCAACAATCTATTAATTACAAGAAATACCAATATGAAAGTCACAGTCTTAGGAGCAGCAGGAGGTATCGGTCAACCTTTATCCCTTTTATTAAAACTCTCTTCACAAATTGATGAATTATCATTATACGATATTCGTTTATCAAAAGGTGTTGCAACTGATCTAAGTCATATTAATACAAATGTTAAAGTTACAGGGTTTGAACCATCATCAAAAGAAGATCAATCAGCTATTAAGCAAGCATTGACTGGTACTGATGTTGTTATTATCCCAGCTGGTGTTCCAAGAAAACCGGGTATGACTAGAGATGATTTATTTAATATTAATGCAAGTATTATTCAATCTTTAGCCTCTGCTATTGCTGAAACTGCTCCTCAAGCTTATGTTCTTGTTATTTCAAATCCTGTTAATTCAACTGTTCCAATTGTGGTGGAAACTTTTAAGCAAAAAGGTGTTTTCAACCCTAAGAGAATATTTGGTGTTACTACATTAGATATTGTTCGTGCAAATTCATTTATTAAAGAATATGATACCCATGGGGAATTAGATGTCTCCAAGGTTAATATTAATGTTATTGGTGGTCATTCAGGTGAAACTATTGTCCCAATCTATTCTCAATCCAATGCATCAAAAATTTATAAAAAATTATCATCAAGTCAAAGAGATGCCTTGGTTAATCGTGTTCAATTTGGTGGTGATGAAGTTGTTAAAGCTAAAAATGGTGGTGGTAGTGCTACATTATCAATGGCTTATTCAGGTTATAAATTTGCAGAAAGTTTAATCCGTGCTTTAAAGGGTGAATCTGGTATAATTGAAGATTCATTTATTTATTTAGATGATGGTATCAAAGGTGCTAGGGAAGTTAAGAATAAGACTAAATTAAATTATGTTTCTTTACCAATTAGATTAGGCCCTCATGGGGTTGAAGAAGTTGAAGGTGGTATCTTGGGTGAATTAGATGATAATGAAACTAAATTGTTTGGTGTTGCTGTTAATACTTTAAGTAAAAATATTGTCAAAGGTGAATTATTTGTTAATAAAGTGAAGAGTAAATTATAAAATGACTGCGATAGCAGGTATTTTATGTATTTCATTAGGTATTTAAGTGTATATTGATTTAATTAGAATTTATTAGCTATTATGACAACCCTTATTCAACAATATCATAAACATATCATAATTAACCAACTCTTCACTTCCAAATATTACATCCTGAGTAAATTGATGACTTATTTCAGGTTTACAATCTCTTGGACCTGTAATTAATATGGAAGATCTAAAATCACTTGTCTTTACATAACTTGGATTACCAAAAATTTTAATTAAATTTTGTAAAAAATCATTAGTATCTTCTTTTGTTTTAAATTCTCGTTTTGTTATATCAACACATAATTGTGAATTAAATGTTATATTTTGACGAGTTTTTGGATTTGATCTATTATAAATTGGCCGTGTTGATTTCAATCTCATTAATTTTTCCCAATATCGAAAATGATTACAATGGTCTAAATGAGTTCTATTTTGGATATGAAATAATGATCTTCTTAATTCAGTAGGATAATTATTTATGGAAGTTAAATAAATAGTTAATAATTCTTTAAAATAGACATTTTGGGGAAAGATATTAAATATTTTAGATTTTTTGGGATCAGTATATGTCCTAGCTGAGAATTCTTTAAATTTCTCATATGATTCAAAAGAATCATTCCATCTATTTCTTTGGAAAGTATCATCAATAGGTATAACTTTAGTTCTATTATTAGCTGAACTTGAAGCACTAATAATATCTTTGTTTTGAGTTTTGGTAACTAATTCACGGATTAAATTAGAACCTTCTGTTTGAATACCAAAAAGTTCTTTAAATCCATCTAAAATACAGATATCAATAATAACTTCTTTTATAAAGCATCTCATTTTAGAATTTGGATTATGAATGATTGCTTCAATAATATGAATAATTTTAGAAAAACTTCGAACTTCTGTTGGGGTTTTAGTTCTTGGGTGTTCATGATCTAAATCATCATAAAGTTTATCATTAAGTATTTGATCTGGAATAATTTCAGTATCTAAAAATTCATAATCAAATTTTTTACTATTCTTATTTCTTTCATATATAGAATATGAATCACATGGTATATTCAATAAATCAGGACCATATTTTAAAAAATTTGTATCATTAAGTTTCATTTTGGTAAGTTTACTTAGAACTATTGTTAAATGTAAAGATTTATAAAGTTTTGATGAAAATGTTATGAAAAATGTCTTATTGATCATTAACATGGTTGAGGCTTTTAAATCACCATAGTTTACAATTAATTCCAAAATTTCCATGGGGAATATATTATTCACTGAAATGTTTAAAACTTGAATATTTTGAGATACTTTTATAACAGTTTTAGTATCAAATTTAAACCATATAACCATGATTTAAAATTATCAAACGTCACTAATGTTAAAAAATGTAATATAATTGATGAATAATACACAATTGGGAATATAAACAATCTTTTAAACATCCATATGCTCCTTGTAATAAACACATCATAATAATCAGTAACAAGATATGTCCTTGCTGCATACCATCCAAACCATAAAGTAATTAATTTGAATTTAATAGATGTAGTTTCTAGATTTAAAATAAGTATGGTTCTATATATTTTATCTTTAATAGATAAATTACCAAAATCATAATAAAATCCTGATGCATAAAACCCAAACCAAGTGGTTAGTAATTTTGTTTTTAAATCAATTTTTTCATTATATTAGAATGTTTATGGTTCTATAGAATTTATCTTTGATTGATAAATTGTTTTCCATTTTGATGTTTCCTTTTGAAATACTTTAAAGAATGTAAAAACTTTCAGAATTACAAGTTGAATTATTGACCATTGACCACCATATATATATATATAGTCGTAAACTGATTCTCACTTAAACAACTCATTTTTTGATATAGCTGTGATGAGCAGACCTCAAATGACTGAAAACAATCAGAAAGAAATTGGTGGGGAGCTACTGTTACTTCTGAACAACAGTAATTAGAGTAAATTGGCTATTATCTATCTATAATATCATCAATTAACTATTATCTCTTGAATATTACGTTAATGGCTATATAAATTACTAATCACTTACATAATCCAAGTCCCACACAGTCCTAGTCCCAATATACCCACGTCTAGTCTTCAATGCTCACCCTAGTCCCTCCATTTCTCCACTCCACAAAAATAAATATTACGTCACATGTCATGACTTGGTGGTACTTAAATTAAGAGACTAGTCTCATGATCAGTGTTTTTTTTGGTGGTTCAATTTTCAATTTCAATTAAAAAAAACAAAATTGACGATTTGAAAGAAAACAAAGAAAACAAAGAAAAGGAAGACAATTAAAGTCAATTACAATCAAAAGAGATAATAGATAATAAGATAATAGACAATTCATTTATTATTTTGATAATTGATAATTTGAGATATTGCAATAACCTTTCAATTCCAGTTTTTCTTAGTTCCTAATCATTCTTCGTTGTTATTTTGTTAAATCCCCTGGGGTATAAAGTCAATATTATAATAATATCAAAATGCCACTTTTACAAGTTCAAACTATTAAAGATGAAATAATTGAAATTAATTATGAAAATCCAATTGATATAGGTCATGGTTCATTTGGTTCAGTTTCAAAATGTTCATTAATATCTCCAAACATAGAAACAATTGCTATTAAGAGAGTATTACAAGACAAGAGATTCAAAAATAGAGAATTACAAATTATGAAATCTTTGGATAATGAAAATATTACCAAGCTACATTATTATAATTATGAAAATGAAGATAATGATCAGAATTCAAATAATTTATATTTAAATTTATTTATGGAATTTTTACCAACAACTTTATACAAGAGAAATCAATTTTTCACTATAAAGAAGCAAAATATGCCATTGCAAGAGGTTAAATCATACATGTTTAATATCCTTAAAGGTCTAGAATACTTACATTCATTCCAAATATGTCATCGTGATATTAAACCACAAAATATCCTTGTTGATCCCCATAGACAAATTGCTAAAATTTGTGATTTTGGTTCCGCCAAAATTCTTTCACCATCTGAACAAAATGTTAGTTATATATGTTCACGTTATTATAGAGCACCAGAATTAATCTTTGGAGCAACAAATTATACAACCAAAATAGATGTTTGGTCAACAGGTTGTGTATTTGCAGAATTATTAATTGGACAACCTTTATTCCCTGGTGAATCAGGTATAGATCAATTAGTTGAAATTATTAAAATCTTGGGGACTCCAACTCATGAAGATATTATATCAATGAATAATAATTATACTGATCATAAATTTCCTATAATTAAAAAGATTCCATTAGTTAAGATTTTTAAAAATTTAAATAATCCTAATGATTTAATTGTTTTGGGGTTTTTGGAACAGTTTTTATTGTTTAATCCAAATAAGAGGATTAGTGCTAGAAAAGCGGCGTTGAATGAGTGGTTTGACTAGACTGAAACGAGACGAAGTCGAGTACTAGATTGAAACGAAACGAAACTTGACTTTAATAGTATAATAATAATACTATAATTAAATTAGATTAATTAGCTTGAAATGAATGTATGATAATTGCATAAATGAATGAAAAGTAATTTAAATAAAACCAAAAGTAGTAATAAATTAAAATAAATTTGGTTATACTGATTACATAATCCACAGATCAAATTTTACCCGGCTTTGTTTTTTTTTTCTCGGATTTTCCAATTTTCAATGGCAAAAAAAAACAATTTGGAAATTGAATTGATACTCATTGAAATATTACTTGAAATATTACTTGAAATAACTTGTAATATACTTGATTTAAAGGTATTTTCAAAGGTAACAAAGTTCAATTCATACAATGTCTGAATCTGGATTATCTTCATTCATTCAAAAGAATAAAATAGCCATTTTGGCTACTTTAGGTGTTACTGCTTCTGCTTTATCTGCTTATTATATCTTACAATCTCAATCAAATACAACTAGTCCATCAACTGAAGAACCAAAAAAGACTAAAAAAAAATCTAAAAAGAAGAGTGGTAATGGTAATAAAGAAAACAAGGAACATAAGGAAACCACTGTTGCTAAAATTTATCCAATTGATTCAAATGGTGAACCAAAATTAACAAAAGAATTGATTGATTCTCTATCATCAGAAGATAAAGATAAATATTCATTAGCTTTAAAAGAAGATGGTAATGAATTTTTTAAAAATAAAGATTTCACCAAGGCTATAAAATTTTATTCAGCTGCTTTAGACTTGGTTAAAGATCCTGTTTTCTATTCAAATAGATCTGCTTGTTATGTTGGTTTAGAAGATTATGAAAAAGTTGTTGAAGATACAACAGCTGCCCTTGAGTTAAAACCTGATTATACTAAATGTTTATTGAGAAGATCAAATGCTTATGAACAATTGGAAAAATATGAAGATTCAATGTATGATTTAACTGCATTATCATTATTTGGTGGATTTAATAATAAATCTGTTGAATCTGTTTTGGATCGTGTTTTGAAGAAACATTCCTTAAAGATTGTTCAATCAAATATTTCAAAACATCAAAGTGAATTACCTTCTGCTTCTTCAATAAGTTCATTTTTTGGTGCTTTTGAAATTGAATCTAAAATTGATGGTATAAATGAAGATTTAGATTCTTTGAAGAAAGATTCTGGTGATTATTTCTTAATTAAAGGTCTTGGTTCATTAAACAATAAAACTAGAGAATCTTTTATTAATGCAGATTCTGAATTTTCTCAAGCTATTAATGCATATGAATTAGAATCTAAAATCAACACCTCCCCAGAATTCAAAAATAAATATTCAATCGCCCTTGAATATTCAGGTGCTTTTAAATTTTTAAAAAATGAACCATTAAATGCAATCTTAGATTTCCAAAAATCTTTAGAATTACATCCAAGATCAAGAACTTATATTTATAATGCATTAATTGCTGCTGATAAACAAGATTTCACCGCAGCTCATGATTCTTTCTCCAAGGCTATTGAATTATCTCCAGAATCTTCAGAAATTTATTATCACCAAGGACAAATGTATTATTTAACTGCTGAATTAACCAAGGCAAAAGAATGTTTTGAAAAAGCTAAACAATTTAATCCGGAAAATGTTTATTCTTATATTCAATTAGCTTGTATTGAATATAGGGATGGAAACCATTCAAAAGCTGATGAATTATTCACCCAGGCTAAAAAACATTTCCCAACAAATCCTGATATCCCAAATTATTATGGTGAAATCTTGGCTGATAAAGGTGATTTAACAAATGCTTTAAAACAATTTGAAATTTCATTTAAATTACAAGAAGCATTACCACAAATCACAATTGGTGTTTTACCATTAGTCAATAAAGCTGCTATTTTAGCCAAACAACCAACAGAAGAAAACTTAAAGGAATCAATTACATTATTAGAAAAAGCTGTTGATTTAGATCCAAAAAATGAATTATCCAAGATCACATTGGCACAATTAAAATTACAATCAAATAAAGTTGAAGAAGCTATTAAATTATTTGAAGAATCATCATATTTAGCAAGATCTTTTGATGAAAAATTACAAGCTACAAGTTTTGCAGAAGCTTCCAAAATTCAATTAAGATTAAAAAATGATCCTGTTTTGAGTAAAAAATTGAATGAAATTGTTGCTCAATATGGTGCTCAAGAATTGGCTCGTTAGGACTCCCGAGGGATTAAGCATTGAAGTTGGATGCTACAATGGATTAAGCGTATATACTTGAAGTATTTTATGTTTGTCTTTTGTGTTATGTTTGAGTTTTAAACTTGTATATAAAAGAAAATTTATGACATTTAAAAAAATTAAAGAAGGAATTCATTATTGTAGTATTTGATGGGCTTTGAAAGGGATTGAAAAGTATGGAAAAGATGTTAGGGATTTTGGAATTAAATACCTTTATGTTGGAACTATTACATTGAGAGGGATAATTTATGAAATTTATTGGTGAGAAACTGGAATAAGAGATTTGAATGGTGGAATCATTCAAAATTCTATATCACTAGTTTGATCTCCAGAATATTGATACATTCTAGAGATCACTTCAAACCAACTATAGATCAAAAGATTATAAATATTCTACACTTCAATATTTTAAGATGATCAAACCTTAACCTTTATTCCAACCTATTTATAAAAGAGTAATATAAAAAAAACATAAATTCCCAAATTCATAAGAAATAATTGAATAACTTCACATCAAGTGATAATTATTCGGGTATTGAAAACTTCATAAATAACTCAAAGAAACCCAAGAGTCATCATATCACATAAAGCATTAAACTTAGATTAATAAAGCACCAACTAAAACAGCAGCACCTAAAACACCTGTAGATTTTAATGAACCTGCAGCATTTTCAGCTTGTTGTTCTGGTACACTTGGAGTAGTACCATTTGATGAACCAGCAGCTGAAGATTGTTGAGCAGCTGGAGCTGATGAAGCTTCGACACCTGGAGCAGATGAAACACCTGAAGCTGGAGCAGCTGTTGTAGTTTGTTCACCTTCAGCTGGGGCAGATGAAGCACCAACGGCTGGAGCACTTGAAGCACCAGCTTCTGGAGCAGTTGGAGCAGATGAAGCACCAGCTTCTGGAGCAGCACTTGAAACACCTGGAGCACCACCACCTGGAGCACTTGAAGCACCAGCTTCTGGATTAGCTGGAGCAGCTGGAGCAGATGAAGCACCGGCAGCTGGGGCAGATGAAGCACCAGCTTCTGGGTTTGCTGGAGCACTTGAAGCACCTGGAGCTGGAGCAGCTGGAGCACTTGAAGCACCGGCTTCTGGAGCAGCTGATGAAACACCTGGAGCTGGAGCAGCTGGAGCTGATGAAGCACCAGATTCTGGAGCAGTTGGAGCACTTGAAGCAGCTTCAGCTGGAGCAGATGAAGCTGGAGCAGCTGGGTTAGCTGGAGCACTTGATGCTGGAGAATCACCACCGGCTGGAGCTGATGAAGCATCAGCAGCTGGAGCAGTGTTTGTAGCTTGGATTTGACCATCACCAATTTGTGAGATAACAGCAGCACTTTGAGCTAATGATAAAGCTGATAAACCTAAAACAACAACTGATTTTGAATACATTATGAATTATAATTTATTGAAATGAAAATTAATTGGATATCTAACGAGTGAACTTGAAAAAGAATTCTTTAATAAAAATCTTGTTGATTAAAAGAACATAATATTCATACTTGATTTAGTGGAAACTTTTGTATTTATATAATGTTTAAGATTTCAGAAGATTCAAATTGAAACACGAAATCTAGATGGTTAATCAACAAATTATACTGCCACTGTTTACATTTTAAACTTTTGTTTACGTAAATCAATTGAATAGTACCTGTATATGATGGTAAACTCTGAGCTCTTTTAGTAATTGTAAAGTTGTATAAACCAATTCTAATGATTCGAGACGTAATGCAAAAGATTTTCGATTTGTTCAAAGTGCATGAAATTTCAGGGGAAATAAATCTAGAATTCAGGAACAGAAATTTTAGGCTGAAAGGTACATTTAGACAGGAAATTGGAATGTACTGTGGTATCCGTCTAGCAGGGTATTCTAGGCAGGGATCAAGCGTTGGATCAAGTTATTATTTAGGCAAGAAACTGGGGGTTTATTGAACCAAGAAGAAACTAAATAATATTATATCGAGACAATTATACCCAAACAATTGTACCCATGAATTGTACCCATGAATTATAGGGTTTTTGTTTATTAACACCACAGTTTAGATTGAAGTAAATCATATACCAAAAGGAAAGACGATTCGTGTATATATTTGTTCGTGACTCTAGTAGTTTATTTGAGTCCTTGAGGCAGTTCAGTCCAGTGTTTTTACTTTTTTTAGTGGTGAAAAGTTTTGATGATATTCGTGATTTGAGATTTTTGTGTCTTTACCGTGTAACAAGAGCATATGGATACTTTTAATGGGTCCAGTTCTTGATGAATTAGGAAATGGTTACTTTATTTGATTAGTTCATGGTTGTAAACTTCTGGTTATAGTTGCTATTTAGTTTATGATTATTACTAGTTTAGGTGAACATGAGCAATTGAAATAACTTTATGTTTTAGGGGTTATATACTTTAGATACCTTTAACGTTTTAATCTTTTATACCAAGAAGTAATTTAACTAAATTGGAAATTTCAGTTGCTAAATCAGAAGAAATTTATGGTTATTGAAGTACCAAATTGATCTTGTTTAGAAAAGTTTAAACTCTATATCTATAGTTGACCAATGACCAGATATATGTCTAGATCACATCATTTATGATCTCGCTTAGGTTTAAACATCCATAATTCCCGATGTTGTTGATTATATTCTTTTAAGATGTATTACCAATTACCAAATATACAGTAAAAGATCCAATATCCAATATTTTAGCTTATTCGTAATCCTTCTATCCTTCTCTTCTATGATTCATTACTCATTACTCATAAGATCATTAAAGACCAACTGATTACCGAAAGGATCACATCTAGTTGACTCTTCAAATACAGTAATTGATTGATCACCAATGATAGTTAGTAATTCTTCAGTTCCACTTCTAATCCCATTACTATTCAACATTCTTTATTGATACCTTGACAACCACTTAAAAGTTATTGATCGTGTTTTTTGTAAATAAACAAATGATCTAATAAAAAGAATCAAATACTTCCAAATCGGGAATGTTTCCTAAGCAGGTAATTCTGAGTACAATCACATGACTTTTACGTAATCAATTACGTAATCAAAAAATCACCCACAGTCACGTGCGATTTCTAATCTTATCAGTTTGGCAGGAATTGCACATTTTTCATTTTTCTGTGCGGGATTTGACGGACCATCTCTGCCTAGAGTGAAGTAGACTCTGCCTATGTCTGCCTACTGTCTGCCTAATGTCTGCCTAGAATGCTGGTCCCCTGTTCAGGGCTTTCAGGGCCCCGGTTGTGGCTCTCACAATTATATTCTTTTTGACTCATCATAACTTTAAACTTCTCAATAAATTTAAATATTTTGATAAACTACTGAAATTATATTTTTATTAATCACAAGATCTATATTATCATAGTTATTATATTATTATATATCAAATCAACATGGTTAAAGAACTTTCTTTGGACACTTTAGTTGTCTCTTCAAATAATAATGATCAACATAATGCTTCAGTTGCTCCTTTATATCAAACTACAACTTTTAAACAAAAATCTGTTAGTGATTTAGGTGAATATGATTATACAAGATCTGGTAATCCAACAAGAACTCAATTAGAATCTCAATTATCTATAATAATGAAAGCTGAAAAAACTTTTGCTGTAACAAGTGGGATGGGTTGTTTAGATGTTATTACAAGATTATTAAAACCTGGTGATGAAGTTATAGCTGGTGATGATTTATATGGTGGTACTCATCGTTTATTAACTTTTTTAAATAAAACTGGTGCTATAAAATTAAAAATTATTGATACAACAAATCCTCAATTAGTTAAATCAACATTATCCCAAAATACTAAAATGATTTTTTTAGAATCACCAACAAATCCATTAATTAAAGTTATTGATTTACCAAAAATTTCTGAATTCTTGAAAACCAATTATCCAAATTGTATTAGTGTTTTCGATAATACAATGATGTCACCATTATTATTATCACCATTAAAATATGTTGATATTCAATATGAATCTGCAACAAAATATTTAAATGGTCATCATGATATTATGGCTGGTGTAATTGCAACAAATTCCAAAAAATTATCACAAGATTTATTCTTTATTATAAATGCCACGGGATGTGGTTTAGCACCATTTGATTCTTGGTTATTACTAAGAGGTTTGAAAACTTTATCAATAAGATTTGAAAGACAACAATCAAATGCTATAAAATTAACAAATTGGTTAGAATCCTTAGGTTTTAAAGTTAATTATCCAGGTTTAAAATCTCATCCACAATACCAAGTTCATAATTCTTATAACAAAGGTTTTGGTGCTGTATTTTCATTTGAAACAAAATCAATCAAAACTTCAGAACGTATTGTGGAAGGTACAAAATTATTCGGTGTTACAGTATCATTTGGTGCAGTTAATTCATTAATTTCAATGCCTTGTAGAATGTCACATGCTTCAATTGACCCTGAAACAAGAGCTGAAAGAGAATTCCCTGAAGATTTGATTAGAGTTTGTGTTGGGATTGAAGATTCTGATGATTTAATTGAAGATTTAAAACAAAGTTTATTGAATAGTGGTGCTATAAGGGAGATTAATGGGAAATTAATTAGATCTGATTTATCAAAGTTATAGAGTAACTTTGAAGACCTCGATTTAGAGGGTATAAGGGGTAAGAGTATAGGAAAAAAGTATAGAGCTAAGTGATTTTTTTGCATTGTTTCAACAACATTTATAATTAATATTCATGATCAAATATTAATGATTACAACATATAATTTCAACATTCTTTTTTGGATTGATTCCAACATCAATTTATTTATATAATTTAATTAAAAAATAAAAAATTATAGAGTAATTTAAAAACAAATGTAGTCACTACAATAAGATCTTTCAAATAAACCAATATATGATAATGATGGTTCTAATATACATTTATAATTATATATAAAAAAATCATTTTTTGTATAATGTACAAATATAAAAATTTAATTTCAAATGAAAAAAACAAATAATTATATATAAAAAGGAAAGTAATATATGAATGATTGATCCTATTTGTAAAGGTTTGATCTTTATTTTTAAATATGATTGATGATGATTATAAAATGATTGATGGGTTGATGGTTTAATGGTTTGATAATGATGATTGATGATGATAAATTGATGATGATGATTGATTGATGATAAAAAAATGAAATAAAATATATATATTAAAGAATTGAAAATGGTTGGTTTTTTTTTTTATCTTTTCAAATGAATTATAATTTGATAAATATTGAAAATAATTTGTATAAATAACAAAAGAAAAATCAATTTTATTTTGTCTTTTGATGTTCCTTAATAATAATTAGAAAGAAACACACACAATATAATTCAAAATAAATAATTCATATAATTATTATTATGATAATGATAGCAAAAAAAAAAGTAGTAGCAGTATATGAAAGAAATAATAACTTAACAACAACAACACAAATCATAGCAAACCCAATGAAAAAAAAGTTAAATGCAAATTCTAAAAAAAAAAATCAAAATATTTCAATACAACAAATCTTCATTTTTGAATTCAATGTATTAATGATAAGCTTAAAGAACATAAGTGAATGAAAACCAAAAGAAATAAGGTAAATTATTATAAATTAAAATTATTATTATGAATGAAACGATTGATATGATGAACCCTTTTTTTTATGTTTTCTTATTATTATTATTATTTATTATGATTATGATTAATTATAAATTAAATTCCATTCAATTACAACAACAAACTTTACTCCAAAATCCCTTTTCTGATGAATTCGATCTTAAATCTGTTTGATCATTAATTAAGTTTTGATTTGGATCTGTAGTTTTATTATTATTATTATTATTTTGATGATTTGAATTAACTGCATATTGAGATGAATTTAATAAATAATTATTTTGATTTAATTTTGGAGTTCTTGATCTTGAATTATTTAATGAATGAACTTTTTGTTTTAAATGAGCTTGTTGAATTTGTTGTTGTTGACCTCCTTGTAAAGCACCAGCTTGTTGTTGTTGATCTCTTTGTTGTTGTTGAGCATTTGATTGTTGTTGTTGTTGTTGTTGTTGTCTTGGATTTGGATTTCCATAACCATGTAAATTTGGTTTTTTATTAATTTCTGCATCCCAACCTTTACCACCATTTAATGACATCCAATCATAATAACCATCAGAAATTTCATCAATTGATTGCAGAGCATTATCCATTAAAGATCTTAAATAATCATAATCAGGATGTTGTTCAAAAGCTAAATTACGAACATAAGTTAAATAATCACCAAATTGACTTGGTAAACCATAAACTAAATCAGCCACGGGGGTTGATCTTTTTTTTTCACCAATTTTTTCATATTTTTGTTTATTTGTTGGAGCTTTAAGACCTTGCCATGGTAATGAACCTCTTAAAAAATAAAGGAAAACATGACCCAAACTTTCTAAATCATCTCTTCTTGATTGTTCACGACCTAAATGAGTATTTATAGACATATATCTTGCAGTACCACTAAGAGATTTTCTTTCTCTATAAGGAATATGTTGTTTTGATTTTGGATCTCTATAATATTTAGCCATACCAAAATCTACTATATGAATTGTATTTGCATTTGTTGAACCCGATTTCCCAATAAGGAAATTATCTGGTTTAATATCTCTAAAGATTAAATCTTTATCATGAATAGTTTGAACTCTTGAAATCATTTGTTTTGCAACTTGAGCAACAGTTTTTGGACTAAATCTACGTCCACACCATTCAAATAAATCTTCTAAAGAAGGACCTAATAAATCTATAACCAAGATATTATGTAAACCTTCTTGACCAAAATAATAAGCTCTTGGGATACCAGAAGAACCTGCAAGGATTCTATAAGCTCTATATTCATCTCTTAATTGAGGAGCTTCAGTTCTTCTTGGTTCAAATTTAATAGCAACTTGTTGATTATTTAATAGATTAACCCCTTCAAAAATGATACCAAAAGAACCTTCACCAATTTTCTTACCTACACGGTAATGAATACCAATGACATTAGCAGATTGACTTTGAGATGACATGATTTATGATGTGATATGGTGATTGTGGTTTTTTTATGAAGAAACAATATAACACACAGTCAATAGTGATAAATAGTAATTTCAAATAAAGGAGTGATTGAAATGTGATTGAAATGTGATTTGGATATTGAATATCTTTATAATAGATGAATATAACCTTTTGATATCAGAAGAATGTTGATATAACCAAAATCAATAAATCAACAAATCAACAAATCAACAAACAATGAGCAATATAGCACAGAACCGACCCTGTCTAATTCAATTCAAAAACTAATACCAACCAAAGCAAGACCAGAACTCAACGATAATAGTCCAAAATTAACCTCTTTTGATCACAATTGTTATTTGAAACCAAGAATGGGCAGCAACGATCCAAGGGAAATGAAATCTAGCAGTTTAAAATCAAAAGCACAGTGTTAAACTATATCAACAGCAGATCACAACCTATACCTATCTGTTCAAGAGCTTTCTTTGTTCTCTATTTTTGCGTTGACTTTGAAGTCTTTCAATTAAGCGCTTTGAAGTTTGTTGTCGTTGTGTTTCCAAAAATGGCGCCAGACTTTCAATTTCAATTTTAAAATTCCAATTTCTTTAAAATTAAAATTCCCACCTAAAAAATCGAAAAACAAACAAAAAAATCAAAAAATCACAAAAAAATGATTTTTCCGCGAAATTGGAAAAAAAACAGATTACGTAATTGATTATGTAATTGATTTTGATTATGTGATTATCACGTGATTATTACGTCATTAATTATGTAATCAAATTGAGTTTTTTGTTACCCTCCTTTTTGTTTTCAATGTTTTGTACTGGGTATAACGATCCCATTGGATTTGTTTTGAATTTGAATAAAACGCGTATAAACAATTATATAAACAATTGATTGACACAATTGATATTCTTTATATCATTGAACTCAGTTTAGTTGGTTTCGTCTGATTACACATACACACAATGGTTAAAGAAGAAGAACAACCATATCAATTAAATGGAAGATGTTTAGCATATCATGGTCCTTTATTATATGAAGCTAAAATATTAAAATCTCATCAAGCTGGTAGTAAAGATGTATTCTCCAAGGAGAAAAAAGAAGATCGTGTTGAAAAAGCATCAGAATGTGAAATCCCAAAAGAATTAGAAAATGAATTATCTTATTATATTCATTATAAAGGTTGGAAATCTTCATGGGATGAATGGGTTGGTTTACGTCGTCTTAGACCTTTTAATATTGAAAATTTAAAATTACAAAAAGAATTGAAAAATGCTGCTTTAAATTCAACTTCAACAGTTTCTGCCTCATCAGGTAGAAAAAATGATCCAACTAAAAATTCAAGTATTGCTTCAACAAGAGCTGGTAAAAGAAGAGGTGAATTAGATTTAGATAAAGAAGAAGATTATCTAAGGAGACCAGAAATTAATATTTTAATACCTGATCCATTAAAATCCCTTTTGGTTGATGATTGGGAAATTGTTACTAAAGAACATCAATTAGTTGAATTACCTGCTAAACCAAGTGTTAATGATTTATTAAAATTATATAGAACTTCAATTGGTAAAAAAGGTGGTATAACTGAAGGTGAAATTTTAGATGAATTTTTAGCAGGTTTAAAAGTTTATTTTAATAGATCTTTAGGTAATTTATTACTTTATAGATTTGAAAGACAACAATTTTTAAATTTAACAAAAGATCCAGAATTTAATGATCGAGAATTAAGTTCTATTTATGGTGCTGAACATCTTATGAGATTAATGGTTACTTTACCTGCTTTAATTGCTCAAACTACAATGGATCAACAAAGTGTTGCAACTTTAAAAGATCACGTTGAAGATTTCTTAAAATTTTTAGATAAAAATAAAAAGGAATTTTTCTTAAAACGTTATGAAAATGTTAGTCCTCATTATGAAGCTGAAGCTAAAAATGCTTAAAACACACACAGGTGTGCTTTCCTCTTATCAAATCCATTTATATCAATTATTTTAAAATTATCCCATTTTTAGAAAACATCACCTACTTTTTCTATGTTTATTTTATAGCTTAAATAAATTTTGTATATTAAAATTGTAATATTAATGAAGTATGTTATATGAATTACATTTGTATACTAGAAAAAAATAAGGTTTCATAAATTCATTAAATATTATACAAATTAATCAAACATAATGATAATATTGTTGTGAAGATGCATTTCTTTGTTTTTGATTTAATGGTAATACTTCATTATAAGTAAAATCAAATTGATCTTCTAAATCATCTTCATTTATAGTTGAACCTGAAACAATTCTTTTTGGTGATTCATTGAAAATTTCTTCATTAACTAATGTATCAATACTATTTTCACTATTATTTAATAAACTTGTTATACTTTTAGTTTTATTATGAATTGGTGAATTATTTGTTGTTGATGGAACTGAAGAATCTTGCATCAAAGTTTGTTCAAATATTGAATTTGATTCTGATTCTGATTCACCATCAGAATTTGTCATAATACTACCTGAATCAGAAACTGTTTCAGTTTGAGGAAATTCTTTCAACATATTATCAATAATCATATCTGATGTACCTTCTTCAACTTCAAATGAATCTAAACCTCTTTTTTTATGTAATCCCAAATAAGATGAACCATCAATTGATAAAATATAATTTGATGAACTTGTTAAATTTGTTATAGAATTTTTAGCAGCTGGAATTAAAGTACCACATTGTCTTTTACTTAAATGATGATAAATTTCAAATTCATCTGTTAAGAATTGATTATCATAATAATTTATTGAATCTAAACCTTCATTTAAACAACAATTGTTTAAATCTTCATTAAAATTTAAATCCCAATGAATTATATTCCCATCTCTTGCTCCAGTATATAAATCACTTGAACTTTCTTCTGACCATTCAATTGAAGTTATTAAATCATTATGACCTTGTAATGAACCAAATGATTCTTGAGCTCTAATATCCCATAATCTAACAATACCATCAATATGTGAAGCTGCAAGGATATTTGAATCATATGGAGCCCATTTAATATTATTTGCGAATCCATAGTTCTTAGTATCTTTAGAGATCTTTGGGGTAAACATTGAAACTTCATTAATTGGAGCTCTTAAATCATTTATAGCAATACCAAAATCTCCAGCAAGTCCAATAATACCATTTGATGAAGGTGATGAATCAAAATTTTTGATACCTAAATGTTGATTTTTTAAAATTGGTAAATCTGATCTATGATTTAAATCCCAAAGGAAAATATTTTCATTACATTGAGAAATTAATAAATTTGATGAATTTTTTGAATCCCAATTTGGCATGTTAATTGTTCTTATTGATGGATCTCTCAAAGTTTTAGAATTATTGAAATGTTTTTTATGATTAAATCTTTTCAAAATTTTGGCACTTTCATTTGAATTTGCTTCAGGAATTGAAACCATATGAATAACACCTTGTTTATGACCTGTGATTAAAGTACTTTCCTCCATGGCATAATCTAACCATTTCATATTTAAGATATTTGGTAAAGTAATGGTTTGTTGATGAGTTAAAGAAATAGATTCATTATTTAAATCATAAATAAATAAATTTGAATCAGAAGAACCACTTGATATAGCAATTTGTTCCTGGTTAGAATCATTTATAGCAATTGAAGTTAAATAATTTGAATCATCTGGGATTTTCCAATAATTTGATGCAATTTTAACTCTATTCATTGAACATGCTTTATCTAAGATACTGGTTGATGATTTTTGTTCTTTTAATAACCAACTTTCTGTTGATTTATTATTATTATGTGTATAAAATTCTGGATTTGATTTAGATTTTTTTATAGCATTTTGTCTGAAAAGCATAGTTGGTTTATAGAAATCCATGTTGTAAAGATAAAACTGAAATAATGTATGAATAATTGATTTAAAATAAACTTGATAATTGTAACTAATATGAATAAAGAATGAATTGTAGTTGGTTATATGATTGTATAAATGAGTGTATCAAAGTTAGAAGTTGAATGAGTGTTTAATATAGATTGTGTAAAAGGAAGAAAGAAAGAAGTTCAAATTCAAATTCAAAATTAAAGAAATTCAATGATTAATGTATAAACTAAGATCTAAGCTGGAAGTTGCTATAACCATTAAGATAAAAACTTTCAAAGGAGTAATGGTCATTGATCCCGATCCCATTACGAAGATCCACACCGAAGATTCACTTACTCCTTGGGATGATTCCACCATTTCACTTGCCTGGTTCCAATGATCATTGATGTTTTCAGTAATGCAACCTGCCATTCATCTTTGAGGAAATTTAAAAGTTTATCGGTGGATCTGTTAAAATTATGCAGGTTATATGCATATCGGATTTGGTGGTGAGCCAGCATTTTGAGAAAATATGATTTTAACAGGGAGAAAAACAGTGATTGCTGGGTTTTTTGTGAATTAGAAGATATTTCACTAGCTAATAGACTACTATTTATTCATATCCTGCTTTTTCCTGTGAATTTTACTTGCAGTTTGAACTATTTATCAACATTTAAACCATTTCCAACCGTTTCGGTGATACCAGCCAGCCACTAAAACACCACCGAAAATACCGTAAAAGGAACAACAACGAACTCACCAGCATCGACCAAGATTCAAACATTAGATCTATGGGATTCATGGTATACTTTCAAGCTACGTATTATATGCTGAGTTATTGACTAAAGAATACTTTAAATTGTGGTATTTAATCATCTTCGTAGTTTATGTATTGTGATTATGTAAGTGCTTATGTAAGATGATAAGTATAAAGTTAATTTATTGAATATTTTGACTTGAGTATTGAATATCTGAATAGTTTTATTATTATAGTGATCTCTGATCTTGGATATTCTATTATATGTACTTATATATCGAAAATTAGAGAAAAAAAAAATAAATTTGAAATTTATGTAATGCTAAAATTTAAAGCTAAAATAAAATTTATGACACTGACATGATTAATGAAATTTTAAATATTTAATATTTATATATATATAATTATCGAATATCGTCAATAATATTTATAATATACTATATATGAATAACATTAAAAAATATCAATCTATCAATATCCAATTAACATATAAATTACATTTAATTAATAAAATCAATTAATACTGTCATTACGTCATAATCATGAGTACCTCAAATGGCCAATGGGTATTATTTGCGCATTTTTGATCAACAATATAAAAAATTTAATCTTATAAAAAAAGATCAAAAGGTTCTTTTGAATTTGTTTTTGATCAAAGTTTTTCGATTATTTAGAAACTATACCAAAATGCCATCGTATACCGTGAGTTTCATAAATTACAGGCATTGAAGGGGAAGAGGAGACTGGTCTTTTCTCTGGCTTGTATATTCCTGAATGGTTTTTTGATTATTTTTTTGGAAAATGTTACTAACAAACTAAGGTCATTTTAAATGAAGATGCTCGTCCTGATGTGTGAGTATGATTGGAATTTGGGATCATGATTTGATTGTCAGATTGTATACGTGTCAGATGAAACAAAGACTGACTTTATACAGTGAAAAAAGAATAGCCATGGAACTTGATGGGAAAATTAAACAAGTATACACTCTGATGAAAGGGTTCACTATCTTTTTACCAGAAGACAATATTTCTGCTTTAGAATCCTATGAATATGTCAAACAAGTTGAAGTTGAAGAGCAAGCTGATACACTATAGAGATATGACACCCCAGAAAATTGAAAATTGAAATCAATTGATCGGCCAAATGATCCCAAAATATCTTTTTTAAGTTGTGAATAGATCTTAGCGCAAGTTTAAAAGTTATTTAGAAATTAATTAAGAGATATTTACAAGCCTTTATTTTCGTTTTTATATTGTAGTTCTGATTTAAACCAGGCACATTGTTTGGATTGACCCCGAAATATATATCACATATTAAATCTATCGTCATGAATTACACTGCAATATTATAAATTACAATTATAATCATTAAATTATCAATATTAATGAAATATTAATTAATTTACGCTGCCATTACGTCATATATTATAATCCTAGTGTACCTCAAAAAGTACAACGCGAATATGTATTTTGTTTGGCCAATGGCTATATTATTTGCGCAATGAAATCCAAACTTCAAATACTATAAGAAGATCTAGAGATCCATTTGAATTTGTTTTTCAATTCTTTGATCAAGTCATTCAGATTTATTAGAAACTGTACCAGAATGCAATCTTACACCGTGGGTATCGTATATTACAGGCATTAAAAGGGGAAGATAATCGAGATTAGTCTGTTCTCTGATCTCTGGCTTTTGTGCACATTTTTTCTGAGTTTTATAAACGGATCAGTGTGCATTACTGGGGCCCTGATATGAAAGGCTTTTGATGATCTTTGGAAAAGTGTAATAATTGGAGAATGTTACTAACAGACAAAGGTCATTTTAGATGAAAACTCTGCTCCAGTAGAGTGAGTATGATTGTGATTTCGATTATCAGTTTATTGTCTAGATCTTTGTCTAGATGATCTGATTGTCTATGTGTCATATGAAGCAAAGACTAACTTTATACAGTTTGATGGTGGTCAAGCAAGAAGTCTCTAATCTTGGTGGTATAGTCAAACATGAATTCACCATAGTCAAAGGATTACAGGTTGATTTACCGGAAGACCATGTATCTACATTAGAATCCCATGAATATGTCAAACATGTTGAACTTGATACGGATGTTCATGTACAATAGAGCTGTGACACCCCAGAAATAAAAATCTAAACCCAATTGAAATTCCAATGATCCCAAGAGATCTTTTTTAGGTTGTGAATAGATATTAGCTCAGGTGTTCAAGTTATTTACAAATTAATTAAGAGTTATTTACAAGCCTTTTCGTTTATTTTCGTTTTTTTTATTGTAGTTCTGATCAAACCAGACATGACATTATTTGGATTGACCCGAAATTTGTCCTTCAACATCAACAACCTTGTTAATATATTATATATTCATGAATTATTATACTAATATACTGCATTATTAAAGTAGCTTAGATTCAAATCTTGGCTCTTTTAAATTTACCATCGGAAACATAGTTTTCATATAGACATCCGTCTTCATCTTCATCGACCTCTTTCAATGGAATACTTCCACTAATTTTATCTAAATATGTTGTAGTATATAGATCGGGGAAATCTTCAATTTTTTCCAATTCAGGATTATAATCAGAACCAAATAATTCTCTTTTAGCTTGTGATGATAATCCAAATCCAAATCCAGAGTCAAGTTCTTGTATCTTAATCATAGTATTGGAAAGCTCAGATATTCTCAAGTTTGGGGCTCTTAATTTAAGTGAATCCATATTTGATTGAGTTATTTTCAATTTTAGCAATGATTTAAGATCACCAGACACCAGATTATTATCAATTTTGTGAATTGAAAGTACTTGTAAATTTGGGAAATCTGATACATCCAAGAATTTAATTCTTATATTATCCAAAGCATATGTTATCAATTTAGGAGCTGAAATATCAATATCAACTTCCATTTTATTACGATTTAGATTGTCACCAGTCACAGTGAAGGATTCTAAATTTTCAAAAGATCCAATGAGTTCCATTGGTTTTTTTGTGACATTAATTTGTAATCTTTTCAAGTTTGGATGATCAAATTTAATGATATCTGTAGATTTATCTGAACTTCCCAAGATTAACTCTTCTAAATTTGGATAATTAATTTTTAAATCATCTAAACTTTTCAATCTAGAATAACTAATTTTTAAACTTTTGAGTGAAGGAACATTCAACTTAGGAATTGATTCAAATCTCCAAATAAGCTTCAATTCCATAGACTTAACTTTTAAAGGACTCATATTTTTCAATTTTTCTGCTTGTACAGGTTTTAAAGAAATACCCAAATATTCAAAATTTGCATCTGAACCAAGTTTTTCCAAAATATTATATGCTGATAGATTGATCCATAAGCTTGGTGATTGGATGTAAAAATTATACCCATTTTTTGCAGGAGCTCTATAAGTATCAAGATAAAGATGCTTCAATTTTTCAGTAACGACATTTTGAAAAATTGGATTAAACTTTGAAGAACTGAGTTCAATATATTCAACTTTTGGTAACTTTGTGTTCAATAAACTTATTTTTCTATCTGAATGAATTTTCATTGTTAAAAGATTAAAAACTCTCAACCTATTAATCTCCACGTTATCTGATGACTGCAAAATCAAGTGTCTCAATTTAGGGAAGTTACAGTCTGAAATCTCGATAGTAAGCATTAAAAGACTATTAGATTGACCATCATTACTAATAGTCATATGTTCCAACTGCTTGAAAGAAATATTATGAAGACTTATATCCCCAGCATCTAAAAGTTTTAGTGTTTTCAAAAATTCAAAGTGAAATGATTTCGAGTGTATATATCCTGTATGTGAATTAATATCAAAACCATCTATCTTTAAATGTTCCAGCTCTTTACAATCAAACGTAACTAATTCATTTTCAATTGCACAATCCCAAAAAGTCAGCTTTTTAACATCTGGTATATGAAATGTTGCAGGATCAAATGTAATTTCCATTGCATCAAAGAAATCTATTTCACTAATGCATAACTGATCAAAGAGTCCAAGCTCTTTAACAACCCTGACATACGTTACTTGAATTCTATACCTTGCATCGTTATCACCATTTTGGGCAAGATAAATATCATAAGAATCAAAAACAATAACAACAACTTTAGAAACTTGACCTTTAACTTGTTTAATCTTTTCCAAGAAGACAGTTGTATCGGAAATTTCATACAATTGCAGCATACCAATGTTTGGAATAGCAACATTTCCACTGATTTGATAGTATAATTCTGATGGGACATTATGGAAATACCTTGTTTCTGGAGAATCCTTAACCAATCTAACAAATCGCTGAAGTTCCTGGGATATAATTTTGATGGAAAATAAGTTGTTGATATCAGCAGGACTCAATCTTTTTAGAATTTGGACCAATACTTCATCTGGAAGACACGAGAAAAGAGCCTGCCCATCAACAGTAGACTTATTGGTACTAGATGCCTTAGGTGTTCTTATAAACCTTCTATTTCCTCTTGAACTTCCGTTTCCACCTCTAGGATTGCTAGATGTTCCTCTTCCTCTTCCTCTTCCTTTCCCTTTTCTCACCATAGTGGATTAAGCTCTCTTTCTGTTTGGATGATGATAAGTTTTTCAGTTGCTCTTCAATTGCACAAGCCTTTTTTATCACTCAGAAGTCATGAGCCATAAGACATGGATTATCTGACCTAATTTCCATATACTTGAGCCATAGCATCCCAAAGAATCCTTTGATGAAATTATATAACTTGGATTTCTTGTTGATCAGAAGTTAAACTTAAATTGTTAGTATTTCTAGACTTCCTAATATAGTAACTTTAAAGAAACGATAAAACATTCTCCTTTTACAAGAGCGGGCGCGTTAATCCGATGATGCCATGTAGTTTAAATGACAATAGTTTGACAGCTACGTCAGCAGGATAAAATAAGAGAATAGTATCATAAGCTATACATATACTGAATTCATAAAAGAGGTTGTTACTTGGGTAATTACTGTCCCAGATCCAACTGACAATGACCATAAAAAACCAACTATGAGTTATTTTTGTATAAAAGTTTGACATCAACATTTTTCAAAATCCTAAAAGGAATAATTTCTAATCCTGCAGATATTTGACAATTTTTAATTTTGATTGATTTTAATTTTGAATAAATTCTATTTGTAAATGGTCCAATTGTTGAAATATTATAATTTTCAATAGATAATTCTTTCAACTTTGGCGCATTAACTTTTTTAAACTTGAGTTTCTTAATGGACTCACTGTTATTAACTAAATCCAATGTTTTCAATTTAGGAAATCCACAATTCGATAGCTTTATTGAACGTGCATACATTGAAAACTTTAAAGTTTCAAGATTCTTAAAAATCCCTGTATCAATCGTTAAAGGATCAGATCCAAAATAACTTAATCCACCACTTTTATAACATACAATCAATTCAACAAGTTCAGGGAAGTTTCCATCAATGTATTGATAAAAGTTGTTGAAATATAGTTGGCATCCAAGGTATAAGAACTTGAGATGTGGAGCGTTGAATCTTATGGGAGCAATAATTCCATCAATTTCATATTCGGCATAATCTGCGTCTATGTAAAGTCTTGTTAACGAGGGAAATTGTGCAATTTTATTCAGGTCCAAGTGATCTTTAGACAAATACTTGATTTTCAACAGTTCTAATTTTTCTAGATTAACCATTTCTAACCCTCTTAAAACATGTTGATACCTTGTAATCGTTCCACTCTTAGCCCTCCTTAGGAAAGACCAACTCTTGTTTTGGAAATTCACTTTTTCTTCATTAGTATTGAATTCTGGTAAATTTTTAACATCAATTTCAAAATCTAATTCTAGATTTGTGATTTCTTCAAAATTGTCAATGATACATGATCTTGCTGAGATTGTGAAGTTTTTAATATTCTGTGCCTTGAAGCCGTTAATAATTACATTAGTACTTGGTGAATAAATGGAAAAGATCTCTAATGAGTCTGCTGTGAAGTTTTGGAATATAATAACATCGGTTGGTTTACAGCTCAATTGTAACGTTTTCAATTTGGGGAAATTCAAATCAACCATTAAAATTGGTCTTGGATGCTCATATCTTGAATCTTCAAGAGATAAGTATTCTAAATTTTGAACCCATTGTGATTTAAAGAACCATGGTGATTCTAAATCCAAAGCGGTTGACCCATATAAAATAAGTCTTAGGCTCTTAGGAAAGACAAATGATTCAGGGAATGTGAATTTATCATGGATACCCATAAGAATTAGATTTTCCAATGATGTACAATACTCAATATTAAGACTGAATGTCTTGATGTGTTTTTTATACGCATGATACTCAATTTTCTTCAACTTTAAGAAATTTAGTTCAATTTTTGTATTTGGGAAGTGACCGAATGAAGGTAAAAATTCGACATCAGGAAAACTAATATGAGATATTTTATGTTTTAACTCAAAATGGAAAAAACGAATCATTATAATATTAGGAATTTCTGGCTGCGTGTCTTCAAAGGATCCATAAAATGTGTATCTGAATTTCGTTTGTTCATGAACCGTTTCAAAAATATCATACGAATAAGAATCAGGATCAAATTGTTGAAAATGCTCAGATTTAAGATATTCCATTAAGACAATACCCTTAAACCTTTGAGGTTCTCTCAAATCCTTGAGTAATTCCTGCATAGAGTCATATGATATCAAACAGCCTTCTGATAACTTATTATATTTGCTATGATTGATTTGATCACTAACCACTTTAAAATTAGCTTTGAAATGAGAATTCATTGAAGGGACAACTTGTAAATAATTCAATATATCATCTGTTTCGACCAAGTAATGTTCAAGAAATAAGACATTGATCTCAAAGGGGAAACTTTCCAGTATATTTGTCATCTTGGATTTTAAGTTAATATATCAACTCATTAAACCACCTTGGAGCAAAGCTCATTTCATCAAATAAAATAATAAACAATAGAATTCGTTTGGTATAAATTCATATAATTCGCGCACCTAAGCTTAGTAAGCTACAAATAAAATATAGATGGAGCAACCATATCTTTAGCCTTCCAACTTTCAATATTGTTCAATGAATAAATTGGTAAATTAAAACCAGGTTGAATGTCTGTTTTGCTTATGTTTATTGGCAAATTATTGTGCAGTACTGATATTCGCTCCGCTATCAATGATGAATTTGGTTGGGTACGTTCGAGTACCATCAGTGTTAATTCAGCATACATATTGATTCAATTCAAAGACTGTCAATTGATCTTTAATTGAATGAAATTTAATTTATATTGGATTGATTCGATCTACTTTGATGATTGGTGAATCTAACAATATATAACTAATCTCAATAGATGCTTAACAATCTTGTGATTTTTGAAATAAATCAAGAGTTTTTTAATTGTAGGTATGAGCAGCGCTATAAAATTGACTACAACTAACCAATATAAAAGAATGAATGATTTTGTATATAGATATTTAGAACTTTATAAATCTAATTATTCAATATCAAATCATTTTCTTGTTAATCATATAATCAGTTTGTATAAGTTTTCGTTCAAAACTATATTCAATTACTGATTTGAATTAATAAAGTAATTTGTTCAAATTCTTTCGTTGGTGAATTAGATTTTGATTCTTCGAATAACAATTACAGTGGATACGTGGATGCTTCTTTTAACATCTATAGTACAAAATATTGAGATTGATTAGCCATAAAAGAATTTATTAATTATTCAATTTTAATATTTTTCAATTTTTTGGTTTTGTGAAACTCATTTTTGATTATCAGCGGCTAATAACACAACTTTTATACAACAAAGATATTCATCTTCTACCTTTATACAATTTATTTGAAATAAGAAACTTTGAATATAACTTATAGTTCTCTTTCTTCATTAATTATGATGCTCTACTATAGTTTTTTTTGACTGAATATATTCATTATAATGACTTTATTGATTCATTGGTTATTTATATTTATATATACTTGAAATATATTAAATATTATGATTCATCAAGTCAATTATACACCTTAGATTCACAAAGTCATTTTAATACAATTAGTTTAGATCTATTGATTGTTTGAATATACATTGTGATCCTCTTGTCTTTAATAAAGATTGTAGTTAACAAATCATAAAGAGCTTCAATGATTTGATTCTATTAAACAACCACTTTACAGGTCAATGAAATAGAAAAGATCTTATATAAACTAAAACATAATTATGGGAATCATCATAACAGAAAGGAAAAAATACTATAAATAATTACAAAAGTACAACACAATTCACATCAAATTTTCATCATCAGAGTAACTTGGATTGGAAAAATCCCTTTTTTTAAATTTACCATTTGAAACATAAGTTTCAAAATGACTACCATCACCTTCATCCTCTTTCAATGGAATATTTTCACTGATTTTGTCCAAATATGTTTCAGTATATAAATTTGGGAATGTTTCAATTTTCTCCAATTCAGGATTATAATCAGAACCAAATCTTTCTCTTTTAGCTTGTGGTGATAAACCAAGTCCTGAATCAAGTTTCCGGGTCTTGATTCTAGTATTGAATAACTCAAGAACTTCCAAGTTTGGAGCTCTTAATTTCAATAAATTCATATTTGATCCTATCAAATCTAATCTTATCAAAGATTTAAGATCACCACCTATTAAATTATCAACTTTATCAATTGAAAGTAATTGTAAATTTGGGAAATTTAATACATTCAAAAATCTTAGTTTCACACGATCCATGACGTATGTGATCAATTTAGGGGCTGAGATATCAATTGAAACTCTTATCTCATCTGGATCCGATCTCAATGATTCCCAATCTCTTGTAACAGTGAAAGCCTCCAAGTTTTCAAGAGATCCAATGAATTGTAACGGTTGATTAGTGGCATCAATTTGTAATCTTTTCAAGTTTGGATGAATCCATCCAATGATATTTAAAGGAATACCTGAACATTTCAAACTCAATTCTTCTAAATTTGGATAATCAATCTTCATATTATCTAGAGTTTTCAACGCAGAACAATTGACTTTTAAACTTTTAAGTAAAGGTGCTTTCAATTTAGGAATTGATTCAAATTGATCCCCAATAAGCTTTAATTCAATACATTTAGCATTTAAAGGACTCATAGCGCCTAATTTTGCTTTATCTTCTTCTCTCAATACAGTACCAAAATATTCAAAACTAGCATTTGAACCAATATTTTGCAAGAATTCAATTGGATACTTATTAACCCATAAACTTGGTGATTGTTTAAAAAATCCATGATCAGCTGATGAGCTACCAGCGTCATTAATATCTAGATAAACATGCTTTAAACTTTGACTATCGACATTTTCAATAATTGGGAATTTCTTAGATGTAAGTTCAATATATTCAACTTTTGGTAACTTTGTATTTTTGAAAACTAATTGTTCATCAGAATTAATCTTCATTGTTAAAAGATTCAATGTAGCCAACTTATCAATCTCCAATTTATTTGATGCTTCAAACACTATATGTCTCATTTTAGGGAAAATACACCATGAGATCTTAACAACTGAATTTGAAGGACTAGAACTATAAGGACGAGGTCTATTCTTGATAGTAAAATGCTCCAAATGCTTGAAAAGTACTCTATGAAGGTTTATATCTCCAACATCTGAAAGTTCTAATGCCTTCAAGAATTCAAAATTAAGGGATTTTGAAAATGAATTGAAACCAGGTCCGCTTATATCTAAATGTTCCAATTCTTTGCAATCAAACATAACTGAATCATTTATATTTTCACAATCAGATAAGATGAGTTTTTTCACTTTTGGTATATGAAATGTTGCAGGATCAAACACAAGACCAATCTCTTCGAAAAATTCAAAAGCACTAAAACACAATTGGTCAAAAAGTTTAGGTCCTCTGCAAGCATACTCTCTAAGAACCCTGGCATACATTTTTTGAGCTCTATATTCTGAGTCATAATCACCATTACCAAAGATATCAATTGCAAAATCTTGATTTAAAAAAACAACAACTTTAGAAACTTCATTTTGAACATGTGTCATCTTATCCATGAAAAGACATATATCTGATATTTCAAACAGCTGAAGTAATCCAATACTTGGGATGGCAATATTCCCACTGATTTTATAGTCTAATTCTGATGGAACATTGTGGAAATACCTTGTTTGTGAAGAATCCTTAATCAGTCTGATAAATTGCTTAAGTCTTTGAGCTATTGAACCGATGGCGAATAAGTTGTTGATATCAGCAGGACTCAATCTTCTTAAGATGAGAACTAAAACTTCATTTGGAAGACAGGAGAAAGGCGAGCTCATTATTTGATGGACGTATGACTCTATTTTCAGTGAGTATCAATGGTTTAAACTTTGACTTTGTTGAAGAACGAAGAACTTCAAAATTCATTTTTCTTTGTAAGGTGCGAGAGCGCGTTAATCCGATGTTTATCCCATTTGGGGTTTTGTATATTGCAATAGTATATTTAATATAATTATCTGTGTAGATTAATAGCCAAATAACGGTCAAGTATTAACTTTCTGATCTGAGAATCATGTCAAGATACGTTATCTGAACTCATAGTTGAAATATAGAGGTCGTAACGGCCTGAGACCCTAAACTACAATCAATTATTGTTCAATGTGCACTGAACTAAAACATTCAATTTAATGATCTTTCAAGATTAAACGGAGGAATTAATAGAATTTATCATCAAGTAAGGAATTAATCATCAAGTAAGATAATAGGCCGAATAGATGTATTAGGGTGTTGTTTTCTTAATGTTCCGTTAAATGCATAAGTTTTGTACTCAGAATGATTATCAATATAATCTTCCATCAATAGAACACTTCCACAAATTTTGTCTAAATGTGTTTTCATATATGGATCAACATTGTCCTTAACTTTTGGTAAATTAGGATTATAAGCAAGTCCAAATCTTCCCCTTTTTGTCTCAAGTGGCAAATTCAATCCAGAATCAAGTTGATAAGATTTAAATGATGTATGCGATGCATTGATACACTCCAAATTTGGCGCCCTTAATTTGAGTAGTTGAACTTCAGAGTCTAATACATCTAGCTTTTGTAACGAATTAAGATCACCACCAATTATATTTGTTGCACTTTTGGCAGAAATCGTTCTTAATTTTGGAAAATTCATTAGATTTAATGAATCGATTTGGACTTCATTTAAAACATATGTCACTAATTCAGGAGCTGTGAGATTAATAGATATGTGCGGGTCAAAATCTTCCATTTCTTCAAGGTTTGGATGTCTCGTAACACAAAATGTTTCCAAATTTGGAAGGAATCCAATAAAATCCATTGGTTTATTGGTTAGATCAATTTGTAAGTTTTTCAAGTTTGGGTAAACCCAACCATTGATACGCACATGAGAATTGAAAAAATTCAAGCTAAGATCTTCTAGATTTGGGTAATCGAATCTCATATTATCCAAAGTTTTCAAAGTATTGATATTAACCTTCAAACTCTTTAAAAATGGGGCATTTAATTTTGGAATGAACTTGAAATGCCACCCAGGAAGAGTCAATTCTGCAGTTCGAAAATTTGAAGCTTTCATACCCACTAGACTTGAACGATCTTCATATTTTAATTTAGCTCCAAAATATTCAAAATTATCGAAAGTTCCAAGATTTGATAAGAAGTGAATTGGATGTCTGTCTACCCATAAACTTGGTGATTGTTTAAAAAATTCGTAATCTGTCGAAGTTTCACTGATCTCATCAACATTAATATATATATGTTTCAAGCTTTCAGCCTCAACGTTCTTGAATATAGGAAACCTGTTGGATGTGAGTTCAATATATTGGACTTTCTTCATCTTTGAGTCTCTGAAAAATAATCGATATGTCTTTATAATCATGGATGATAAATTTGAGGAGACCAATCTATTGATATCTATTTCCCCCTGAACATCAAAGTCAACATAACGTAACTTAGGAAACATACACCAGCTGATCTTAATAACTGGTTCTGGTTCATCTGACACATCGGGATCTGGATCTGGATCATAAATACTATTTATACGTAGACTCTCTAAATTGTTGAACGCTAATTTTGTCAAACTTATATCTCCGACTTCAACAAATTCTAAAGTTTTAATATTTTGGAAGTCTATTGACTCTGATATTGAACTATATTTTCCACTAATTAGTAAATTTTGCAGAAACTTGAAATCAAACTTCACTTTTGAATTTGCAGTGAAACAATTATCAATTTCAAGTTTTTGAATATTGGGCATATGAAATGATGAGGGATCCAGTACCAGTCGATGCAACATAAATGACTTGAGATGAATCACACACACTTGATTAAAGAATCTTGATCCTATCGACCTTTGATCTGACATTAAAGAAAATAAAGCGTAATAATCTGGGTGTCCAAGTTCGAAAGAATTGAAGTACTGATCTTGAACATAATCTTTCACTAACACGAGAATTTTGGTAGTTTTTTCGTTCATTTCACGAAAAGAAACATCCTCTCTGAATTTATTCAGGTTCGTTATTTCAAACAATTGAACTAAACCAATTCTTGGAATTTTGATATCTTCAAGCAAATCGGTTTTCTCCCCGATCTCATAGCATAATTCTGATGGAACATTATTGAAAAATTTTGTCATTTCTGTGTCTTTGAATAATACAATGAATTGATGTAGTTTTTTAGCTATTGGATCTATGGCCAGCAAGTTGTTGATATCCATGGGACTTAAATTTTTCAAGAGAATTGCCAGCACTTCATTTGGAAATATTGAAAAGGGGGATTGATCCATATTATCCATATTTATGTGTGTAGTTCCTTCATAAGAAACCTTTTTAGTATTTTCAATTTCACTGAAGTTTTCAATTGTTCTTTTGTTGGAATTAACTTGTAGTACAAAGCCGGTACAAAAGCTACACGAAAAATTTTACGCGTTTTTTTTTTCATATACTTGAATAAAGGGCGCCTTAATCCGGTGGATAAAAAATTAAAGCTACGATTTTATATGAAAACCCATCTTTTAAACTATTGTCTATATTCATTATAACATTCCTACCATACGATGTCACGCTCATCATTATTCAATGATTCTGATTGAAGATCAATTTGTCGAATTTTTCCTTCAAATTCAAATAATTCAGGTTGAATTTCACTATATTTTTCATAATATGGAAGATCTTCTATAATTTTTTCAAGATGAGAATCAATATACCAAGGAGCATAATCTATAATATCTTCAAGTTCTGGTTTATAATCTGAACCAAATTTTTCTCTTTTCAACTCTGATGATAAACCGAATCCAGTATCCATTTCTAATGTATGAACCATTGTATTGAAAGGATCAAAAGTTTCAAGATTTGGGGCTCTTAATTTTAATAATTCCATATCTGAACCAATTATTTCAAGATCAATTAATGAGATTAAATTTGGTGCAATTAAATTTTTCATTGATGAAACTGTTAATTTTTGAAGTTTGGGGAAATCTAATAAAGTTAAAGTATCAATTTCAAGATAATCAAAAACTAATGAAAGTAAATTTGGAGCTTTAAGATTAATTGTAACTGGTTCCTCAATGTGTTGTAAGTTTTTGGCCTTATTATCTCTATGAATGAATATTGTCTCTAAATTATCAAAACTTCCATTAAAATCTAATGGTTGAGTTGTTATATCCAATTTCAAACTTTTCAAATTTGGATGATTAAAATTTTCAGATCCAAGTTTTGTATCATTACATATAAGAGTAAGATCTTCTATATTTGGATAATCAATTTCCAAATTGTCCAATTTTTCCAAAGCAAATGTAGTAACTTTTAAAAATTTAAGTTTTGGGGTATTCAGTTTAGGAATTTTGTTGAGTTCTTCACCCATAAGTATTAATTCTGCTGTCTTGACATTCAATTCATCCATTTCAGGAATCAAAGGTATATCTTTCTCATATACTCTAGCACCAAAATATCTGATATGATTTGTATCACCTAAAAATTTTAAAAATTTCAAAAAATGGTTATTTACCCATATACTAGACACTGATTGGAAGAACTCTTTATTTTGAGGAGCTTCAAAATTCTCAACATCCAAGTATAAATGTTTTAATTTAGGAAAATTTTGCACATTTTGCACTAAAAAGGTTTTAGATTCTAATTCAATATATTGTAACTCTGGTAGTTCAAATTCTAGCAATATTATTTCAAGAAGAGTTTTAAATCTTATTGTATGTAAACCTGGGAATTCTGATCTATCGATTACGATGACACCAGATGTATCAACTTCAAAAAATTTCAATTCTGGGAATTTGCAATTTTTAATATATGCCGAATGATGTATTGATCTTGAATTTTTATTTAAAACGGTTAAACTTGTTAAATTTGGGAATGTAATATTTGCAAAATGAACTTTGTCATCAATATTTGATAGGAAAATTTCAGTTAAACTATTAAAATTTAAAGATTTTGAAAATGATTTATAACCAATCCCATTATAATCAAGTGTAACTAATTTTGGGAAATAAAATTTTCTTGATTCATCTGCACTTGTACATGAGTCAAATAAAGCATGATGTAAATTAGGGAAATATAAAGATGATGGATCAAGTTCAAGATTAACTTCATCTAATCTCAAAACAGTGGTGAAGAATAATTGTTTAAATAATCTTGGATTTTGTTTTGAATGATTTTCAACCAGTTTTTCAAAAGCATGATTTGATATAGCATCATCGTTTTGATCAAAATCAGCAGCAAGTATTCTAAGATATGGATCATCATGAACAACAAGCATTTTGGGAACATCATCATCAATTTTTTTAGAAATTTTCTTAATAAATGGATGGAAATCCACAACTTCAAATAACCTTAAAAGACCACCTGTTGGTAATTCATCATCTTTTTTAGGATCAAATCTTAGCTGTGATTCCACTGGGATATTACTAAAGATTATTGGATCAGCTTGAGTGACCAACCTCACAAATTTCTTGAACCTTTGTGCCATTTCTGGGATATCAAAGACACGATTTATGTCCCATGGGCTTAACTGACACAGAACCTGCACGATCAACTCATCCGGGAGATCAAACAAGGGGAAACCCATTTTGATATAAGAAGAACTAAGGAGGGAAGTGCTTTAGCAGATACAATTGACCTTAGGAAGGTTCTCAATTGATGATGGTTATGAAGAGGTGAACATTCCAGCTTTGGCCGATTTTGTACGTATCAATTAGTCGCGAATTTTATTTAGCATACATAACATAATTGCACTATAATTTTATCTTTAACTAACTTGCAATTCAACAACAAAATGGAATGATAATAAACTATGGGGTCGTATGCATTGTGATTATGTATGGATTATTTAGGTGGTATTTTCTGTTTTTCAGAGAAGTTCCCGGGTGAAGTCGTGTTTTTCTCTCAAATTAATGCTCAATATTTTCACTCAATATATTAACTCAAGTGAAAAGAGAGCGTTTAAGTGAGACTTTAAATGGCTCTTTGGTTTTGAATATAAATATCTCCCATAATGCTTTTATTCTTTCAGTTTTAGTTTCATCAAATCCAGAAAAAAAAGTATATAATATTTACCAAAAAAATGAGTACAATTGATAATAATGATAAATTAATTAGATTTAGATTGGATGTGAAAGTTCCAGTCTTATCTCATACAGTGGATACTAGTAATCCAGTATCAGATATTGTCAAGTGTCAAATTCATAAGAAATTTAATTCAAATTTAATTGATAAAAGTCAAGATAATATTCAAAATTTCCATATAGATTCAATTTTCCAAAATTTTTTCATTACAACTAAATTAATCGATGATGAATCATTTGCTCAAATTAATCTCTTGCTTAGTGGATTTGCTAAATATAAATACTTAAAGAAAATTATTCCAAAAAGATTCATGTGGAATTTTGCAAATTCTCATCCAGAACTTATGATACCAGGTAATAAAGCTTATAATTTTTATAATTTTGAAATGTATAAGTTCTTCATCAAGATGCCTATAATTAATAGGAAACATCATAAACATATAAAGAGAATTAAATTTGATAGAAATAATATTTATCTTTCATTAGAAGATAGACTTAAAAGTTTCACAGTTGTTTATAATTCAGAAGCTTTAGATATTTATGACATAGATCAATTATATGAGAATTTTGAAAATAAAATTGGTATTAAATTAAGAGCTGAACATGATAACTATCCATTAACTCATGTTAATAAATTTCATTTTTATAAAAAGTTATTCAATTTATTAAATACAACAAATGGGATTGAACAAGGTGATGATATTTATATTAAATCTCAATTATTTGCCAGAGCTACAATTATACCAATTCAAGAAATTTTATTAAGATTGGCTGATCAAAAAACTGAATTATCTTTTAATAAAGTTATAACAGATGATTATTATGTTGATGGCTATTCAATTTATAAAACTAGACCACATATTGTTTTTGGATTACCTGATAAACCAAAAATTATTATTAAAATTGTCGAAACTGGAACTTTAGATAAATTTGAACATTCATTAAAATGGAAAATTCCAAATGAAAAAGTTGATAAAACTATTAAAACTTTATTTTGTGAATGTTTAAGTCTTAATTTAACAAATGGGATTATAACAAATGGTAAAGAATCATTATTTATTCAATTTCCAGATTATTCTAATTCTTCTCAACAAGATATACCTTTAAGTTCTCAATTACAACATCAAATTGAATTCCCAGGTGTTGTTAAGTATAAATTCTTTAAAGGAGGTGAATTAAATAGTAGTCATAGTATTCAAATGGTTATATTTGGATTACTTTTCGAAGATGAATGTGATTATGATTTAAAACCTTGGAGAATTGGATTAATTAAGGCTAAAAAATATGAAGAATTGCAAAGAAAACAGTTGAAACATAAGTTATGAATAAAGACAGTCTTTTAGTTGTATAATCAATAAACCATTGTTTCTTTGTCCTTTGGTTGTAAATTGAGTAGTTTATTACTTATATAGTATGTAATGGTATTTTGTAGTAATACATGGCGGTTAATCTAGCTACAAATCCACGTAGTATGAGAGGCTCATCAGAAACATTGTAGCATACATAGTTTATACGACAATGTACACAGATCAATATAATGTGATTTTGTTTGTTGGCGGAAGTTTAAAGTTGTGTTTGTGGCAATTCAATAAAAAATTTAAATAACCATATCAGCAAAAAAAATTACAAAATTACATATGATCTCAGTCCAGTATGAATGATTCAATGAGATAATACAAAGCTCAAGATGGTTCTATCATCAAGGTACAAACTGTTAGTTGATAAATCACCTATTTTGAAATCATTATTATCATTAGATTCAGATGATGAATCAATAGTTACAACAAAATCTAAAAATACATCAGCAATAACAAAATTATCAATTAATCAAGGTCCAACTTATTTATCAACTTTTGAAATAGATCCAATGATTATTTGTTCATTTTTAAATATCTCATCTGATAAAGATACTTTTAGTTATGAAAATGTTGAATATTTAATTGTAAATTGATACCATGATTATAACATATGAAATTAATTGGATTATAACTAACTTTTGAAATTTATAAGGAATTTTCACGTCAAGTTGCAATATCAATATGTTATATATTTGGCTCAGCTATACTTGGCTCAACAGAAAATGAAGGTTTTAGTAAATTGATACTGGAAAGTGGTGATGCCATTGAAAAAGCATCTCAATTGATTGTTTCTAATAATAAACTGATTTTCCAATTATTAGATAATGATTATAAAACTTTCAGACATCCAAATACAGAATTTGTTTTACTTTATCTTTTAAACAGAAATATGCTATCTATAAGAAAAAATGTTCATGAATTAAAACTAAAAGATCCTAGTTATGAATCTGGTAATATTACTATGAAGGAACTTATTGAGACTGATGAAAGACTTTCAAAGGTACATGATTTAATGGCTATAGAACATACAAAAATTGGTTTCCCTTTCATTGATTCAAATCCAAACATAAATCAAAATGAATATATATTTGATCATGAATGTCAATTAACTGCAAAACAAAAGGCAAGGAAGTTAGATTATTTAGTTATTGAACAATCATTAGGTCCAAGAAATGATTTATTTAATATTGATTTACATTCAAGAACTATGAAGATTGGTAAACTTCATAAATTAGTTAAAGAATGTTTCCCAAAAGCATCAAAATTAAGAAATATTCCAGAAAGATACAATGGGGATTCATTAATTGATTATAAGAAATCACATCAGTCCATAAAATTAAAAGATTGTTATCTTTTAGAAGATATTGAAGTTATTGCTAAGAGAAATTTAACTTCTGGTGTTTGAAATTGATAAATTGAGATCTTTATTGAAAAATAATGGTACCTACCTCATCAAATTTGGATTGATTAATATACGGTTATTTAAAAAGACAAATTAATTAAACTATGATTAAGTAGAAATAACTTGTGTCAATTAATTAAATAATTATATTTGTACGTATCTTTTTGACCCTTTCTATGATAATTGACTGATAAGCAGCTCGCGCGCTTTCCTAAAACAGTAAGCGCAATGAACAACCAATATGTCTCGTATCTTTTCTTGATCTGTTATCTCCAATATTACAATCAACAACCAAGGAAACACGGAGACGTTGTTAACTTTTGGTTTTACAAACGTCTTGGTGTTTTTTGAGATATGAGATATCATATGAGTATATAAAGACTGATTGATCCATTAGATCTACGTCTATGTCTTTATCTGATATACTAGTTTATACCAGTATCACAAAATGTCCGAGAAGAAAGCTGAAACAATCAATTCAAAAGAACAAGATTATAGTGAAGGTGAAATAATTACAAGTTATAAATCACCAACTGCAAATTTAGAGCTAAAAGATGCAGATGAAGCAATGGGAATTGCCCTTGAATCTAAAGATCTTGGTATAGAACTAGATTCTAAAACTACTAAAAAATTAATTAGAAAAATTGATCTTTATATCTTACCATTGATTGGATTTTTATATGCTTGTCAATTCATGGATAAAACTACAAATTCTTATGCTGCAGTTATGGGTTTAAAAACTGATTTAGGAATGAAAGGTGATCAATATTCTTGGACTGGTACTGCATTTTATATGGGTTATCTTGTTTTTGAATTTCCTGCAAATGTATTATTACAAAGATTCCCATTAGCTAAAACAACTGCAACTTTCATATTTATATGGGGGGTTATCTTGTGTTTACATGCTGTACCAAATTATGCTGGGTTTATAAGTTTAAGATTTCTTTTAGGTGTTTTTGAAAGTTCAATTTCTCCTGCAATGATTATATTAACAAGTCAATGGTACCCTAAAGAAATACAATTTCAAAGAACTTGTTTTTGGTTTTCATGTAATGGTATTGGTATAATTATGGGTGGTGCTATTGCATATGGATGTTCAATCCATGCAGATTCATTCTCATTTGAAGCTTGGAAATTGTTATTTATTGTTACTGGTTTGATGACTATAGTTTTATCAATTGCTTTTATTTTACATATACCTGATACTCCATCAAAAGCATGGTTTTTAAAACAAGATGAAAAATTAATGCTTGTTGAAATTATTAGAAGTAATCAACAAGGTTTTGGTAATAAACATTTTAAAAAACATCAATTCATTGAAACTTTAAAAGATCCTTTAACTTGGTTATATTTTTGGTATGCATTATCAAGTAATATACCAAATGGTTCATTATCAAATTTTGGTAGTATTTTATTATCAGAAGATTTTGGTTATAATGCCTTTGATAGTCTTTTAATGAATATGCCATGTGGTGGTGTTGAATTTGTTGGATGTATTGGACTTTCCATGTTGGCTTATAAATTACCAAGAACTATAGTCTCCATTATGGCAGGAATCATATCATTATTTTCATCATGTCTTTTAGCATTTGTGGAAAATAATAATAATGCAAGATTAGCTGGTTATTATTTACAATATGTTTATCCATTATCAATGATGTGTGCATTATCATGTTTTGCATCAAATACAGCAGGTCATACTAAGAAAATTTCAACAACTGCTATATATTTCATTGGATATTGTATTGGTAATTTAATTGGTCCACAAACTTTTACTACACCTCCTTATACTGCTGGTAAGATTGTTATTGTTGTTTGTAATCTTTTGTCATTATTAATTATAGTTGCAACTTTTTTCTATTATAAGTATTTAAATAAAAAGAAGGATGAAAATTTGATGAGTATGAGTGAAGAAGATTTGAAATTATTTGAAAATTCTGAATTTGCAGATTTAACTGATAGAGAAAATCCAAAATTTAAATATAGTTTATAAAGAAAATATAAAATAGATATTTTGATAATCTACATTGTAGTAAACAGCTTTTTTTTAGCATTAATTTCATATCTGATTCATTAAAATATAGTATACAATTTGATAATTAGTTTGTTAGTTGATTGAATTGATCAATTTCCAATGAAATAATCTAATAAATCAACTTTTGTAACAACATGGATTGGTTTATAATCTTTATCAGTAACAACAGCACTTGCATTTTTTTCAAAAAATTTCTTTAATTCATTTAAATTTGTTTCTTCAGTAATTTTAATAAATTTTTTCTTTTTAGATTTATTTTCATTAAAAATATTAACATCATCAAAATTATTTAATTTTCTAAAATCTAAGAAAATATCTTCAATTGAATCATTAATTGTTATGGAGTTCGATGATAATGATGATAATAATTTACTCAGTGTAATTAAACCAATTAATTTTTCAGTTTTTGGTGATAAAATTGGTAATTGATCAAAACCATATTCTTTTAAAATTTTAACAACTTCTTGAACTTTTGTATTTGATTTAACTGCAACAACAGGTTTTAAATTTAATGATTTAATTGTAGCATTATTAAATTCATCATTTTTAGCAATATCATTTTGATTAGTTTCAATTTGGAAATCATTTGATTTCATCCATTCATCATCAATAAATTTAGTTAAATAAGATCTAACACTATCTGGGAAAACAACAACAATAGTATCTTTTTCAGTTAATTCAGGATGATCTTTACAATATCTAATAGCAGCAGCTAATGCACTACCAGAAGAACCACCAATTAATAAACCTTCTTCTCTAATTAATCTTCTTGCTAAGGTGAAAGATTCTTGATCATCAGTTTTATACCATTCATCAATTAAATCTCTATTTAAAGCTTCTGGAATGAAATCATAACCAATACCTTCAACTTTATATTGACTAACATCAGTTTCATTTAAAGTTTCTGGAACAGCTAAGATTGAACCTTTAGGATCAGCACCAACAATTTTAATATTGGAATCTTGTTCTTTTAAATATTTAGCAATACCTGAAATAGTACCACCAGTACCAGCACCTGCAACTAATGCAGTGATATCACCTTTAGTTTGTTCATAAATTTCCACCCCTGTAGTATAATAATGAGCATCTGGATTATTAATATTACCATATTGATCCAAAATAACAGAATTTTTAATTTCTTTATTTAATTTTTTAGCAACACCAATATGAGATTCAGGAGAATCAAAAGCAGCTTCATTTGGAGTTCTAATAATTTCAGCACCAAGAGCTTTTAAAACTGAAACTTTTTCATTTGACATTTTTTCAGGTAAAGTTATAATTGTTTTATAACCTTTAACAGCACCAAGTAAAGCTAAACCAATACCAGTATTCCCCGAGGTTGGTTCGATTAAAGTATAGCCTGGTTTGATTCTACCTTCTTTTTCAGCTTGTTCCACCATTCTCAAAGCGATTCTATCTTTAACACTACCACCAGCATTGAAAAATTCCACTTTAGCTAAAATTTTTGGTTTTATACCTAAAGATTGTGGGATTTTATTTAATTTAACTAAAGGAGTATTACCAATTAGTTCTAAAACTGAGTTTTTCAACTCTGGGATGTTTGAATCAGACATAATGAGCTTAATATGATATGAATAAAAGATAAATAAGAAGATAAAGATAAAGATCTGGATTTCTTCTTCTTTTAAAATGTTTTTAAATTTTATCAAAATAACGTGCAGTTACACGGCAAAGTTTAAATTGGTTAATATGCGCGATGGAAATAACACAGTTGAAATCTGGTTTTAATGGGTTTAAATGGTGGTTTAAAGGGTTAGGATGTGATTTATCAGTTAAAACAAGTATTTTATTGATCTCTACGTGTCAAATTATACCTATAACCTAGTTTTCCCCCTTAATTTAGCCCAATTTCTACTTAAAATCATCATTTTTGTGTCAATTTAATAGCTTTTGTACCCATGCAAATGACATATTTGCACGTGACTTTGGAAAGAAATTTACTGAATAACGTGAGATTTAATGGGTTTTCAAAGGTTTAAATTGGATAAATTGTATGTATATCATTGTTCATCACTATTTATTATGGTATTACTTGGTTTTCCTCGAGTTTTAATGATGTTTTGATGGTTTTTAGGAGGTAAAATCGTTATCTCGAGTGAAAATTTGTTCCTAAAAAAATTAATACCGGATGGGTATAAAACATTTTTAGCAAAATAACCAAAATTTAATGAATAATACTAGTAAAATTACCAAAAGATTACAATTGATTATTCAGAATTATAAAGAATCACAAGACTCGATATCAATCAGTGACATTTCAGAATTTTTAGGAATAATTGATGATGTTTTCCATGTAAATTGGAATCATCAACATATACACGAAACTTTATCATTATTTACAAAACAATATTCAAATATTTTAATAAATAAATCAATCTTATTAGAATTCTTGAATGATTTATTTGATATAGATTTAATTAATATGATTGGAAAAACTGAAAATTCATCAAATAATCATGATTGGTTAACTTCACCTTCTTCATTATCACCACAATTTCAAAATCAAAACATTGATACAATATCTTTACAACAAGAACATTTAAATGAATTTAATAATCAATTTAATGATAAAATATCAAAATTAAATGATGGATTGGTTAATAATGAGGAAAACCACAGTTCAATACCCAAAATTTCAAATAAATATGGATTTTCAACAAAAATTTACCAATTTTTAATAAATTTCCTATTATCAACAAATGATTTCATATTATTATTAAATTTATTATTGATTTTAATAATCATTGTGATTATAATTAATCAATTCATTGATTTATCACCTTTTTTAATCAATTTTGGTAAAAAAATATTAATTTATGATAATTCATTTGATCTTTATTGGTGGCAATTACCAATTTTAGAAGAAAAAATTTGGAAATTTATTGATTTTATTCAAAAAAAAGAAGAAGAATTGAAATTAATGAAATAGGGTATTTATAATAAGGACAATTTTAATGATTAATGAATTTACAAATTTGTATAATAAAATAAATAATATGCTTATATGACTATGTACTAAAAATTATAATGAAGATTCAACTCATTTTTCTTGTTTATCAAGTCCTAAAACTTTCATTAATGATTCAATCCTTTAAAAAAAGTTAGTATATTATCTTGATCTAAATTGTTTCATATAAAACTTACTGTGTTGGATCAATTCTAATTTCTGCCTTTTCCATTTCTTGACTAACTATTTGTAACAAATGTTAATATTTACCCTTCTATCACATAAAGTTATCATACATACATTTTTGAAATGATTTTTTAATCTCTTCATCTCTAAAAATTTTAACATATTCCATTGGACTTAAATTACCTGCTCTAATATCAATTCCTTTATCAGTCATGATCTTTTGAACTTCTCTTAATGCATCCATAACCTGGGATTCAGAATTAGTATTAATCTCACCTATATATGACTTTCAATTAACATACACCTGGACTTTGTTCAATTTTTTGAGTTAATCTAGCTAAAATTTCACCACCTTCTTGATTTGTTGCATAATTTCTTCTTAAACTAGTTATTTGATTGAATTTTGAAATTGGGGTTTTAGGAATGTTTAATGATAAACTTCTTGCAATGTTTAATTTTGTAGTTGATCTAATTGAATATCTGAACATGTTTGAATATGATTGTATCTATATTTATAAAGAATTATAAGATCTGATTTTTGTTGAGTATAATTGATTACTATAGTTTTCTTTTTGACTCAAAGAAAATAGAGTGTGCCCCGTAAACCAAAAAAAATAAAAGTTACGTAAGCTGGATAAGTAATATATAGATATAGTTTATCGAAAATATATTAATACAAATATTATAATATATTTTAGAAAATCAGCTCTGTAAGTACGTAGAATTATCCCATCGCCAGCCTGGGAATATCGAAAATTATACGTATATATTTATATTATATTAATTATAAAATTAATTAATTCTTTAATATATTTAAATATTATATATTTATATTTATAATATATTATTAAATAATATATAATTTAAATTGATCCAATAATTTTTCAAAATATATTATATTTATAAATTGCATTTTAATTGTACTAGATTATTCGAATTATTCATGATCTACCAGTCATGCATGGCTTTGAATAATGCTATGATTCTATATAAGATTGTTAGTAACATTCTCTAATATCAATTTCTTTATATCAAGCTTACGCTGATGGACTAAGATCAATACCTGCTTTTTCCATTTCTTCTTCAACTAGTAATAAAATTAATGTTAATATATATCAATTCACCCCCTGATGAGTTAAAATAACATAAATACATACATTTGTCAAATGGTTTGATAACATCGTGATCTTGCATAGCTTCTATAAATTCCATTGGGCTTATGGGACCACCATCACCATTGTCAACTCTTTTATCTTTTATCATTTTTACAACTTGATCAAATGCATCCATAATCTTATATCAAAAACATTAGTATATTAACACCATATGAAGAATTAGTTTTAAAAATTAACATACACCTGGATTTTGATCAAGTTTTTGTTTAAATTTACCTATAATTTCACCACCTTCTTGATTTGTTGCATAATTTCTTCTTAAACTGGTTACTTGATTATATTTCAAATTATCAATTTGGAGTTTTGTAGAAGTCAATGATAAACGTCTTCTTGAAAGGGTTAATTTTGTGACTGATCTAATTGAGTATCTAAGCATGACTTATAAGTTAAAATATTAAGATCTGGGGTTATAATTGATTATGCTCCTTAAGTTCTTTACAAAGATAGGAATCTTTATTGTTACTGTGTTACGCCCACGTAAGATCTACTTAATTCCCATATAGAGTATTATACTCAATTAGGAATTACTAGAATTCTTAAATATATATGGGATTTGTTGAATAAGATTGATTAGTTCGATTTAATCTTATTAAATATAAAACTTATTTATGGCCTTATAATTCATTTATATATAAGAATATAAACCAAAAACTATTAAAGATAACATAGAAAAGTAAATAATTTTACCTATAGGTATCACCCTTTTTGATAATATTGATGTTTTCCTAATTGGCATTTTTTCAATTTTAAAATCATTTTCATCAATTTCTAACGTAATTAAATCAATATTTGATTCATTAATATCTAGATCTTGTAATTCTTTTGATTTTGATGCTGAAAATTGTGAAAATTTGAAAGAAAATTCTTTTAATGGAGGTTTTGTTCCAAATCCAAGTAAATAAAGTGCTGAATTTAAATTACTTTAATTTAAGTGTTAGTATTCATATAACTTTGAAAAACACAAAATATTTATATACGTACTTTGGTAAAAAGTTACCTGAATTTATATCACTGTTAACTTCTCTCATACCTAATAAAATGAAACATTAGTATAATTGGAATTTTAGTACAAGATAATTTATACTCACAATCATCAAATTTTTTCTTTAAAGTCGAATTGCTATTTATCTTTCCAACATCACCATAACTTAATCTACTTTTTTTAAGATTAAATTTACCTTCTTTTTGCAATGCTTTTCTTAAATCATCAATTTCTTCACGAACATTAGGTTTTTGAAGAATATTATGTAAATTTGTTAACATTGCAGCTTTCAAAAGTTCATCATCTTCAATATCTTTTAATCCATTCTGTAATTTATTAGAATCCAATTTATTTAAAAGTTCTTTTACTTCATCATCAGCTGCACTTGATTTTGTATAAATAAACTTCCCTTTAATTAGTGGAAAATTTCTAGTAATTAAATTAAAACCTGAAATTTTTTGTAAAAATTTTGGTAATTCATGTCTTATTAAAATATTCCATAATCCATGTTTTAAAATTGGCAATTTTTTAACTGTCATTGATCCATTTGGTCTCCTTTTCAATGTTATAACTTTAATTTTGCGTAATAAATCTGATGATTTATCTGTATTTTCAAAATCTTCTTTTGTTATTGAATTCAAATGATATTCAAATGTAAACTTTGCTGGTGTTGGTACATCTGTTCCATATATACCAAAAAGATAAAAAATTGAGTTATGGTCACTTTTATATTGTTAGTACAACATTCAATTAATCTTTAAGTTAAAGGAGAAGAATAACATACGTTGGCATAAGTCCAAAACCTGATCCTTCATGGAATTCTTGAGCAACTAAATCTTATATTAGTAAAATTAAAATTGAAATAATTTAATTAAAACAATAAATGACTTACTTGTTTCATATTGTTCCATTAATTTGGAATCACTTGCTATTTTATTGATCTCATCATCACTTAATTCACCTCTAGTAATATCATAACCTTCTTTTCTTAACATTTCTTTGAATATTTTCACTTCAGATTGAACCTTTATAATTATTAGTATTATAAGCCTAGAGAAACAGAATATTTGAATTCTATAACATACATTTTTTTTTTGAATTCTTTTGATTAAATTATCCCACATCAAAGTATTTAAAATGTCTTTATCATTTGTCTCTGCAAGCCCATTAACCAAATCAGGATAGTTATATATCCAAGTTCTTTTACTTGAAACTGATCTTGAAAGTTGGGTATTAATTGATAAAGAATTTGAATAATTTGAAAAATTAAGAGTTTTCAAAGGGGATATAACCCTTCTTAAAGAAGTCCTTGAAGACAATCGCAATGAATTTCTTAGAAGCATTGTTTGATCCTTTCTTAACCTAATCTTGTAGGGTTCTTGAAAGATGGTTTCTTCACTTTTAAATTGTTAATCATCAATACCCAAAGAATTTCATACATGTTGCCCCAAAACTGAAACTATTATATAACAAAATGTGACAAAACTACAATGCAGAACTATAATATGTAAACTTCAAAACAAAAACGTAACTAGTTACTTAATCTTCCATTGATATGGTCATCATATCATATACTAATGATATAGTATAGTATATTTTATCACCAATCATGACTTCTTTGAATATTTATCAATTTTGGACTGATAATCATATTTTCTTTCGAATTTTAGTAAATCAACTTTACCTGGTAATTCATTAAAATTATCGTCTGCAGACTCATTATTATATTTAATTTCTAATATGAATAAATCAAATTTATCTGGTAATTTATGAATAAAATTATTCGGAATATCTTCTAAATTTGCAGATTTTGAAATTTGTGTTAATTTAAATGAAAATTCTTTAAAAGGTGGTTTTAAAATCCCAAGTAAATAAAGTAAAGTACTTAAATTACTTCATTAATAACTGTTAGCATATATATGAGCTTTATCAAAGCTGAAGCAATACATACTCTGGAAAAAGTCTAACTGAAGATGGCACTGCATTAACTTCTTCAATACCTATTAAAATAAAACATTAGTATTTGAGTTCAATATTTAAATAATCTCAAAGATTATATGTCAGTACTCACAATCATCAATTTTCTTCATTAAATATGGAATTTTAGTTATCTTATCAACATCTTCTTCACTTATTTTTCTTTTTCTAGGTAATAATATATTTTCATATCTCAAATATAGTCTTAAATTACCAATTTTTTCACGAACATCAGGTTCTTCAAGATTTTCCTGTAAATTTTCTAATATTGCACATCTTAAAGAAGACCGCTTATACCCAGAAATACCTTCCAATCCATCACTTGATTTATTAAATTTCGCTTTATTCAAAAGTTCTTTTAATTCATCATTAGCAGATCTATTTGAGTAATTGTTATGAACAAAATTTAAATCAATATCTGGAACAAATCTTTTATATTTGGGATCATAAAGTCCTGAGCATTTATTTGAAGAATTTGTTAATCTATTTCTTTCCCATGATGTTTTTGTAACTTTAACTGATCCATTTTTTTCTCTTTCCATTATTATAACTTCAGGTTTCTGTAATCCTTTAGTAGAAGCTATACTATTTTCAAAATCTTTTTTTGTTATTGAATTGACTTCATATTTAAACTCCAACTCTTTTGGTGTTGGTGCTTTTGGTCCATATATACCAAAAAGATAAAAAAATGAATTTTGGCATCTAATTTATAATAAACTGTTAATAGATGAAAGTATGATCTCTTTTTGATAAAATATTACGTACTTTAGATAAAGTTTAGAGCTTATGTTGTTTCCATAATTGAATTCTAGACAAACTTAATTCTTATATTAGTATACTTGAGATTGAAACAATAATTCATGAAACAACATGAATAACTTACTTTTTCTCATTTGTTCCTCTAATTTTGAATTCTTTGATAATTCATGAGTTTTATCTTCATCCGAATGATCTTTATTAATATCGTAATTTTCTTTTTTTAACATACTTTTAAGAGCTTCAACTTCAGTTTGAACCTTTGATTATTAGTACTATAAGTGTAACAAAACAATATGATACAAGTACATACATTATTTATTTTAATTTTTTCATATAAATGATTCCACATCATAGTTTTCAAAACTTCTTCATCATTTATCTCTGCAAGTCCGTTAACTACATCACGTTTATGGTTTTCTATAAAGGAAATAACTGATGAACTTGAAGATTCGGTATTAGTTGAATAATTATTCAAAAAATTTGAAGGTTTGGAAGGTGATATAATCCTTATTAAAGAAGCCTTTGAAGATAGTTGAAATGCAGCTTTCATAGTCATAGTTTGATTTCAATAACCAGATAGTTCAGATCTTATAATGGTATTTATTAGAATCAAAATGTTTTAGAGACATCATTATTTCATGATGAGAACATTATCAACAAATACACTCAATCGAGTAATTTTTTATATTACAGAATATAAATTTAAGATCTACATAGTATGAGAATATTATTGTAAGTACTCAATCATTCAATATTAGTTCTTCAATAACTGCTGCTAAAAGGTTGTTTTACCGAAGGTATTAAATGTCATCTACCTCTTTACGAACCTGTATGATATATATATTTTTTATATAATTAATTACGTTGCCCCAAAAATTCATACCTACCACAAAATGTCCTACAAATTGTATGTAATTTCCAATTTCAATATATATAAGCAAATTCATTAAATTTAAAATCATTTAATAGTTATACAGCATTCAAAGCAAAACTCCTAGTGTTGTTAATATACAAAATAACAGATATCATAGTAGTAAATAAACCAAAGGAAATAAAATCATGAAAATTTCCATCTATTACCACAATTTTCACAAGTACAAAAAGTTGTTAAAGGTTCATCAGCAGATCTTGTTTGCAGTTGATAATAACTAACTTTCTTTTCTTTACATTTACCACAAGTAAATCTATCAGTAACAGCTCTTTCTTGAGTTGCACCTTGAGCATTAAATAAATTTTTCTTTTTAATTTCTTCTAATTCCTTTTTCAATGATTCAGGTGCCATTTCTCTTGGACTCATATTTATGAAAACTTTTGGTAATAAATCACCATTATTAATTTTATTTCTTAATTCAGGATTATTTTTTTGTCTTAAATTTGAAGTTAAACTTCTTAATCTTTGAGCATACTTGGTATTTGAACTTGTATCAAATTTTTCAGCATGGAAAACTTCAGCTTCAATTTCTTTTGCTAATTTTAATAAAACATTTGGAGGATGTTCAGAATCAATACATAAACCATTATAAAGAGCCTGTATTACCCCATTTCTTGTTCTATTTTCATATAAATCAGTTTTAACACCATCATTTTTAGCATTTCTTGGACCATTAGCAACAAATTTTTTTTGTTGACCAACAACATTTGTGGTATTTGTTGGAGTTGATGAGTTGTTGTTGTTATTTGATGAACCATTACCATTACTAGCAGATGTAGAAGAAGCAGCAGCAGGACTTGATTTCTTTTGACGTTGAACTTCTTCTTTCCATTGTCTAATTGTTTTCATGACGATATCAGAGATTTCTTTATTATCAGATGATTTATATTTATTGACCACAATACCAACTTTTGTTTCCTATAAATGTTAGTAAATCAATATCAACACACTATCAACACAATACTCACTCTTAGTAGTTTTTCAGTAGGTTTGATATCATTCTTGAGGATCTTGAGGATATCCAAGATGGTTTTATCATCTTTGGCCTTCTCAAGATTTGTGATATGAGTTTTAATTTCTTTGGTATCCATAATGTAAACAAATAGTTTATTGAAAAAAAAATTGACGTAGATCTCCCCTAGGAATTAACGATAATCTACAAAGCACAGTGCAAGCGGTGGAATTGATAACACAAGGATTGCTTGATAAAGTGAGTTACAATGCTTTAGTAGTTTTATTTGAATTTGGTGAACTTTTTAAACTCCTTTTAATTTCCAATGAAAACAATGAAAATTTAAATCTTTATATTTGTTTTTTTTTTCAGAGTACAAAGTGGCGTTTTCACACTTGTGCAATGAAACTGAAAACAAAAACATCAAGTGAATACTGAACAGAGACTAGACAAAGACTAAATCAACTAAACTGAACTAAAAAGTGTTTGTTTGTTATCAACCATGTCAGAAAGAGTTCCAGGGAAAGTGATATATATAGGGTCAATTCCTTACGATCAGACTGAAGAGCAAGTGCTCGGTATGTTATTATTCCTAATGAATTCAAGAGATATTATACTAACCATGTTTACCCAGATATAGCCAAATCAATTGGTCCTGTAATCAATTTGAAAATGATGTTTGATAAAGAAACAGGGAAATCAAAAGGTTTTGCATTTGTTGAATATCCAGATGTTGAAACTGCTTCTTCAGCTGTTAGAAATTTAAATAATTATTCAATTGGTAATAGATCATTAAAATGTGATTTTTCAAATGAAAATTCATTATCGTCAAATGGCTCAAGTAATAATAACAATAATAATAATAATAATAATCAAAAATCTAATGATACTTTACCCCCATTGCCCCCAGGTATACAATTACCACAAGGTCTTAGTTATGCAGATTCAATATCGAAAACGTTACAATCTTTAGATGATACAAGAAAATTAACCCTTATAGAAGATGCTAAAGAGATGGCTAAAAGAAATCCATCATTAATGAATGAATTATTAACCCAATGTCCTCAATTATCTTATGCCTTGGTGGAAACGCTACTTATAACAGGTACTTCTACTCCAGAAGATATAACAAAATGTTTAATAAGTAATGATGATTCAACGGTAAAGCAAGAAGAACAAACTCCAGAACAATCACAACAACAAGAGGAAGAAGAATTAGATGAAGAAAAATTAGCTTTAATTAAACAAGTTTTAGCCATATCAGATGAAGAATTAGCAGAAATTCCAGAAGATCAAAGAGCTTCTATTGTACAAATCAAAGAAAATGCAAAGAATGGTGTGTATGGTAATATAATATAGACTTGTAATACTAATTATTAAAAGAGAGATGTAGAACAATAATATTAATTGAGCTAGTATATAGTAGTTGTTCATTACATAAGCAGTGATGCTTGATGTTTAATTTTTTGTTTCGAGATCCCTTGAAAAACAAATTTGAAAATATGGTGGAAACACCAAATCAACAAATCAACAATCTAAATCAATCTAAATCACCAACTTTAATATGTCATACTCTATACGAAGATCAAGAGATCAAGGTCGTGAACAACAAAGAAGGCCACCTAGCTATGCTTCTACAAATTCATCTTCATCATTACCATCAGGTAACTCAGCTACTGCAGATTCTTTAGCGAATGCTTCATCAGTCATTTATTTAGGTAATATACCAAATGATTGGGATGAACAAATTTTATCAAGTGTTGTTGCTGGTAGTGGTAAAATCGTAGATATTAGATCAAGAATTGATCCTCAAGGTAGAAATAGAAATTTTTGCTTTGTTGAATATTTAAATCCACAAGAAGCTTCAAAAGCTTTAAATTTATTAACAGAAATTAAATTAGGTCCAAAAAAAAAATTAAGAGTTGAATTATCAAAAGAAGGTTTAAGAGGTGCTGGTCATAGAGATAGACCAATCTTGGAATTAAATAGAAATTTTATTCCTTATTATGTTCAAATACCTGCTGCTATGCGTGAAAATGATTTTAATAATTCTCAATCTTCAACTCCTATACCTGGAAATTTACAAGGGAATAATATTGTACCTCCTTTCCAACAACATCAACAAATACCCCCATTACAATCTGCAACTCCTCCTGTTTCAACACCAATTCAAATGCCAGATGTATTAGCTAAAGCTCAACAATATTTACCACCTTTCAATTCAAATGCATTTACTTCAAATGATAAAATTTCACAAAATTTACAAAATATACCACCAATTCAATTAATTGAATTATTATCAACTTTAAAACAATTATTATCAACAGATTTATCTTCGGCTCAACAAGTTTTCAATATGTCACCAGATATACCAATAACTGTGGTACAAGCAATGGTATTATTAGGTTTAATTGATATAAATTCTATAACTACAGCTGTTCAACAACAAATTTCTTCATCAACTCCACAATTACAATCAAATAATACTCCTCCACCTCCTCCAACTCAATCTATACCACAACCACCTATACAACAACAACAACCACCAATAAATCCAAAATGGGCACAATTTTCAATTTCAACAAGAGATAAATTATCAAAATTAGATCCAAATGAAGCTGAAGTTATTGTTCAAGTTCTTTCATTATCACCAAATGATATTATTGGATTTCCTCAAGAACAAAGACAAATGGTTGAATCAATTAGATCTCAATATCTGTAAAATAATAATTAATTAATTGCTAATATATTTTTGCTATAATATACTTCCTTATGAATTATGTAGTTTACTTCATTATTTCTTAAATTTTCACTTGTATGATTAGTCTCTTTTGTCTTTTGTCTGATATTCCTTGTCTAATTTATGTTAAGTACAAATGTCTCAGATGTCCCAAATGTCCTTAAATGTCCCAAGTGTAAAAATAAAAGTCTCAAAAAGAAATCCGGTCGGATTTTTGTGCTTTGGACAAATATTTCTTGAGAATAAAGTCTAGAAATTACAAATGCGAACAATTAATTGGAAATACAAATCAATATTATTATTATTACTCAATTTTAATCAATTAAATTGAATTAAACAACAATTTTAATCCATACATAATGTCCTCTTCAAGCAGTGAGAATGAAGATGGTACTCAACCAAATAGAAACAACACTGGCAATAATAACAATAATAACCATAACAATTGGAATAATCCATTAGAAGCATTAAATAGAATATTAAGTGATGGTACAGCTTCTCTTCAAGAAACAAATTTAAATAATGATAATGATGATAATGATACAGATGTTCTGTTTAGTGGTACTATTGCTCAAGGGATTCCAGGATTTTCTGTAACAATTGGAAGAACAAATATATCAAATAATAATATAAATGGACCAACAACTGAAGATCCAGTTTTCAATATTAATAATATACCAAATAATTTAAGAGAAATTGTGGAAACTTTTTTAAGAGATAGATCAAATGGTAGTGGAAGAAATAAAAAAGCTACAAAAGATGCTATAAAACATTTAAAAATTGTGGAACCGTTATCTTTAAAAGAATCTGATAGAATTTGTTCAATTTGTTATGAAGATTATGATAATGTTGAAATTAAAAATAATGAAGATGAAGGTGATGAATTAAATGATGAAAATAATTTAAAAAAATTAGAATCAATTTATAAAAAAACTCGTCAAATTATGAATGATGATCCTGAAATTTTAATACCTCATGATTCTTTAGCTCAAAATTATAGTAAATATCAAAGATTTGTAAAAGAACCAGATCATAATGAAGAATCAGATCAACATATCCCTGTTCAAATGCCATGTGGTCATATTTTTGGTCGTTCTTGTTTAATTGAATGGTTAAAAGAACATGTTTCATGTCCATTTTGTCGTCGTGAAGTTGAAGCTCAATCAACAAAAGATTCGAAATCAAAAATAAATTCAGCTTATAGAAATCCAAGACTTGCTCCTGCAAATTGGGCTGGTGATGAATTAAATTTATTTGATGATCCTCAATTACCTTTCCCTCATGGTACAAGAACAACTTCAAATAGAGGTAATTTTTCATTTTTTGGAAATTCAATCTTCAATTAAGAAAAAAAGAAGAAGATATATGGGAAATAGCTACAAAATATTTATTATACTTTTTAATTAAAGTAATTATAATGATGAATTGATATGATTTTATACAAAATTGTTTGTAACTTGAATTTTGTAATAATAATTAATACCCGCGAAATTGTAGATTATAAAATTTATTTTTATGAGAATTGATAATTTAAAAGTTAACTAGTAACAACTTCAAAAAGAAATGATTATAATATGGAAATTCCAGGATTTTATTATGATGAAACTAAAAGGAAGTATTTTAAGATAACATCAAATACTACAGTATCTCATAAATATAATTCAAATGTGATTAAACAAGAAAAAAGGGAAAATGAACGAGCAATTAAAAGAGCTAAATTAGAAGATAGACAATCAATTTCTTCCAATCCTAGATTTAAATTAAAATTATATTCAAATCTTGATTTAAAATTAAATGGGTTTGATTTAAACAGAAGGAAGTTTGAAATAGAGAAATATTGTTTACAAAATATTGAAAAAAGAAATTGTACAACTACAAGAGTTGGTGGTTATCATTCAGATAAAATTGAAAAAATTATTTATGATGATTTAAATAAATGGTTTTCATTTAGTAGTAATAAATCTATTTATGAAGTTAAATTAAATGAGATGGTTAATAAAGATGGTGATGAATTTTTAAATTATAAACCAATTATACCAATTTTAAAAACCACTAGAAATGATAAAAAAGATTCAATTTTAAGAGACTTTAATAATTTTAAACAAAGTGATAATACTTCAACATTGATTAAAACATGGCAAGGAGTTGGAAATGAACCTAGTGAAGTTGAAATTTCCACCAAAATTAATCAAACAACATTTAAATCATATTCAATTAAAAAATCAAATCGTGAATCTTTTAATACTTCATTTTATAATAATTTAAATAATAATTTAATAATTTGTGGAAGTAAACATTGTTTTAAACAATCAATGTGTGATTTAAGTAAACAAGATGAAGTTATTTTCAAAGGATTAGATGTTTTAACTGCTGATTATAAAACTAGTAATGTTTATTTATTAGGTACAAGAAGTGGTCAAGCTTTAGTTATTGATGATCGTATGAATAATAAAAATATACATAAAATTAAAAAACAGCAGCAAAATTCTGGAAATGGGTCAGTTATTAATATTAAAAAAATAAATGGTGATAGAGTCTTATGTTCATTTTTAGGATCTAAATTAAAACTTTTTGATATAAGATTAGGTTTCAAGAATTCTATTGTTGATTATAATTCTACCAAGACAGTTGAAGATGTATTTGGTGAAACACTAGGAATGATAAATGATACAAATTTTATTGTTCAAACTAAATCTTCATTTGAAATTTTCGATATAATGAATCCATATCCAATTAAATCTTTAAATATATCAAGAAGAGAAGATACAGATACAAGAATGAATAACAATGTTATTGATAGTTGTGTATTTACAGATCATCATTCAAAGATTAATAATGGGATTATAATGACTAATGGAGAAGACTTTGATATATATAGTTAATATTTAATTAATTTAATGATTTTATGAATTATTTGTAGCTATTAATTAATTTTAGATCTCGGTCATTTCGGAGCATTTACAAATTCGGAGATAAATCCGAGCTTATTTTTTTTTGTTTTGATTTCGAAATTTTTTTTTTAAATTTTTTTTTTTATGTGTGCTTGTCACAAAAAATTATTAAAATCAAGTAATTTTCTAAATTTGGTAAATTTTAATTGTACAAAATCTAATCATTTATTATAAACACAACACATCATTGATATACATACAAAATTTATAATATAAAATACATAAAGTGAGCAAAATTGGGGTATAATATATATGTAACAATTTTTTTGAAAAACTTATAATTGTTTTGAAGGAAACAATTCATGAGAAAATATATAAAAAAGTATAACAATGAGCTTTTGTTTCCTTATCTTTATGATATAATTAATCTATTTAATTTCTAAATTTGATTATGACCTGTGGTATAATTATTCATAACTGGTACACTTTGATTTTCTGATCCTGGATTATATGTAGTATAAGGATTTTGAATTCCATATTGATGACCTGCACCATCATTCAAAAATTGATTATTATTAAAATTATTACCATTATGATTAATATTATAATCATTAGTAATGTATGGATTTTTATAATTTCTTGGATCAGATTCTAAACCAGTATATTGATTATTTAAATCATTACTATTAATATGATGATGTGGATTAATAGTTGTTGTAACTTTAAAATTATTATTTAAATTATTTTGATCATGAAATGAATTTAATGAAGAATTTGTTGATGACATATTATTCATACTATAATTTGTTTCTAATTGTTGAATTTTTAATTGAATTTTTCTTGCATATGGAGCAGATTTAATTGCAGGTAAATAACTTTTAATATTAACAATTAATTTATTCATTTCAGAACTTAATTCACTAACATCATAAAATTGATCAATTAAAGTTTGAATAACATAATTACCAAATTTATCTTTAATTAATAATTCAAAATTATAATCAACTAATTTAATAATTTCAGTTAAATATAAATAATTTTGTTTAAATTTTAAAATTTTAATAAATTTTTCCACAACATTTGAAGAAAATTTTAAACATGATAATTGAATTAAATTATTATAAATTTTATTAAAAAATTCATCAATTAAAAATGAAATATTTTTAGAAGTTTTCAAAAAATTTAATTCAAATAAAAATTGAATTATATAATTACCAAATTGATCATTAATTAAATCATCCAAATAAATTAATAACATCTTGGCAATATTTAAAATTTGATTAAAATTTGCATTATTTAATAATTTTTGTAAAACACAACAACCATGTTTATGAGTTGAAATTCTAACAATATTATTATTAATACAAATTGAATCAATAATAAATTGAAATTTTTCTGGAGGAAATTTAAAAATACATTTTTGAATAACATGATTCCCATTTAAATCTTTAATTAATTTAACAATATTATTATCATCAATTCCATTCGTAACATCATTAATTTGTAAACCTTTAATAATTAAATCAATTTGATAAGTATTTGAAACTTTATCAATAATTTTTTGTAAAGATCTTGTACCATATTGATTAATTGAAATTAAAAATAAATAAGTATGAATTTTTTCAATTAATAAATCTTTTTGATAATTTGATAAATAATCAATTAATTTTTGAATTAAATAATTACCAAATGGATTAATAATTAAATCAATTAAATTATTAAAAATTTTATTAAAAATTACATCTTTAATTGAAACATCAAGATCTAATTTTTTTTGTAAAAAACGACATCCATATTGATCAACAGATAATTTTAATATATCAAGACTTTCAATTGGAATTAAATTTAATTCATCATAATTTTTATAATTTGGAATTTCAACTTTTGGAGTTTGAGGTTGAGAATTAAAATGTACTGCAGGTAAAGAAGAATGATGTTGATGTTGATTTTGTAATAAAATAGGTTGAGATTTTTGTCTTTGAGGGATAGGAGGTTGTTGTTGATTACCATTTGAATGACCATTTGTATGACCAATTGGTGGTGGAGATGTACGATTCAACCCATTATTATAATTGTTTAAATTCATATTATTCATATTCATATTCATACCAGCATTGGTCATATTAACATTGGACAAATTTAAACCCGAAGCATTTTGATGATATTGTTGAAGAGAAATTTGTGGGATAGAACCATTTGATCCCCTATTTAATGGATTCATGAAGTAATCATTCTTTGTGAAATTATTATTGGAGTTGTTTAAAGTTGGTGTAACGTTATTTGATTGTAAAGGTGTTTGAACTTGATTTGACTGTGATGGTTGTGAAAGATTTTGCAAATTACTAATGTTGATTTGACTAAATTTTTGATCCAATTCATTCACTAAAGGTAATGATTTGAATCTTGATCTATAAGTGTTACCGCCTATATTGTTGTTTAAATTTGATAGTGGTGTTGAAGAAGCAGTTGAAGGACCATTTGAAGTTGAAGTGAAGACGGAAGAATTAAAAGTTTGATCTCCTAAATCTGGAGGAGTCAAAGGTTCAACAACAGAATTCACCGAGTTGATGGACAAATTAGGTTGATGATTAGCCCTATCATAAGACTAGATTCCATGTTAGTGATCTTTGTAACTAAGTGTTGATACTAGAATCAACCCTAATGAAAATTGGGTTGAATTAAAGTGAGAATGTACCTGTGTCCATTCACACCAAGTTGGAAACTTACCATTTTTAAAATAGATCTTTATAAATTATTATTAGAGAATGAAAGCCAGTGGGTCGTTTTCACAATATATTCTTGAAGACTCTTTGCAATCACTTTAAAGTTGTTTAAAAAGTTTTTACAAAATTAATTTTACTAGTCAGTATAAGGAGAGGAATTCGAATCGTTTAAATATTTTATTTATCGCCTTTCCATGTAAATACCCTTTCGAACTAGATTTGTCCATGGTTTCAAGATGGACCTGTATCACTATGGAAATATCAACAAAAGCACTTAAAAATGTTGTGTTCTTAACAAATGAGCAAGACCTTTGAATCGTACATACCAATTCTTTATCAAAGACAATTGTTATTTGGACTATCACTATTAATGACAAGATACAGGATATAATGGATCTATAATTGTTTAATTGAACTTTATGATCTTAGTTAATTGAACTTATATAGTTGTTGAAGTTTCCTATCAATTCCTATTACTATAACTGGTTTATTTTAGACTTGTAGACTTGTCAATGTCCCACTGCACGTTGAAATCAGGAAACCCCGGATTAAAATTCTTTTAGGCAAAGCTTTTAGGCTGGGAAAACCCAGTCTTGAAGAGAACACATCCGGCCTAGTGAGAGATTCCCCAGGCTGGGGACCTGATAAGCACACGGGCTCATTTGTCTTCACAATTCACAATTTCCTTGAATTCCAATCCAATCGTACAATTTTTGTCTTGAATATTTTAAACTTTTCCAAATTAAACCTCAAATTTAAATAGGCCATGAATTAATCATTCTAAAGCGATCAAAGACATACACATTTACAAAAAAAAATTGTATATCTTGTAAATACTATGGTTAATCTTTAAACAACTGATCTTTACCTTCGATTACTTGACTAAATCATGTAGTATTTGATCCTATTTGTAAAGACATTTGTATATTTGTCTTCTACTTGATAGAAAGTTGTGGGTTGTAATGAATTTGAGTCGGTCTCGCAGAACTAGGCATGGTGTACATAAAAATTCAAAGTGTATGTCGAGCCCAATGTTTTAAATTCAACTGTGCAATCATGTTTGAAGGGTATAAGGTTACTGAAATACTTATTAATATGAATTCTCCCCTTTCAATACCCTAACAACCAATATAGTCTAGCCTAGATAGCCACTGTTTTTCTTTTAACCTTACAAGCTGATTGTTGCACAAGATGTACACTGTTACCTGTACGTATAGTTATGATCAAATTTTACTAGACTTAATTTTTATTTTTCTATAACCTATACAAGACAATTCTTATCAAATCATATTGACAATTCCGAGCTTGCTTTTCGGTCAACACAAGCCTAGGTCTGGATCAATTTATATATTACTATCTTACACACCTTATGTATGTAAAATCTAGAATATTGAATCATCAAATTTACCAATTAAAGTAAAATTAGTTGTAATATATCATAACCCTAACAAAGAAAAATCTCAAGATTCATCTCATGTTTCATATGTATAGAGTTTTAAATTAAAATTCCTTTGTTCTTTACAAACTCAATTCATTATATAATTAAGGTATAACGGACCCTTGAATGTTTTTCAATTCAAGTATATAAATTATTACACTAAACATAAAATAGAACACTAAATCAGTAGGAATTGTAAAAATTCATCTTTTTAAATACATATTATACAATCATGACCCATTTATTACCGCTTAATAAATCATAACTTTTTAAACAATCTTTTGTTTAACGAAAAATGATCTTAAATGATTAATTTGCCAAACACATGTAGCACCTAAAACAAGTAATTGAATAATAGTCCAATTAACAGCTTTTGAATTAACAGATTCACTTTCATCTCTAAATTTAGCTTCTCTTTCTCTAGTTAATTCTTGTTCTCTTCTAATATTTAAAATTTTTTTATTTAAAACTTTAACTTTCCCTGTTAAACTTTGAACATGTTCATTTTTTTTACTATCTAAAGTTTCTATATCACCAATTTCAAATTCAACTCCAATTTTAGTTCTAACTTTTGCTAACCAACCTTGTGATTGTGGTTGGAAACAAATTCTATGTTCACCTGTATCAATTGCTGTAAATGTAAATTCACCACTTGGTGAACCTTTTTGATGTACCACTCTATGATGATTATCAAAGACTTCCTATAGGAAAAGAAATTGTTAGTATCAACAACAACAACTATAATAAAAATGATAATTGATCACTTACTTCAATATCTAAAACTAATCCAAGTTGAGAAGAATCAGCTGCAATGAAACGATTTGTTTGTGTATCAAAAACTTCAACATTATATTTACCTAAAAGTAAAGTACCTTGTGAAAGTTCTTTATAAAAACATTTACGTTCACCTCCAATAACATGGAAATAGAATGCATTAGCCACCGAAAGTAAACCTAATAAACAAAAAAATAATTTCATCTTTAATTAATAAAAATAAAGATCAAAGAACTTTCAATGTTTAGTATAATTATACGTTCAATGTTTTTTTTTGCTACGTTTCTTCTAAAGAAACTCGAGACTTTGGAAAAATACAAGAAAAGACGCGATCCAAATACGGTAAGTACACGTCTTTTATTTTTCACGTGACATAATTTTCAAGTTTTGTTTTGTTTTTGAAAAGTACAATACATAAGCGTTGAACAGATAGATGTCTAATATCTATCATAAAAATTAGCTTTGAAAAGTCATTAACCAATACAAATCTATGAATTTAGCATTATTGGATCCTTTTGCTGTGCTAAAAGAGTTCCCAGAAACCCTAACACATACCTTAAACTTTGGACATTCAGTTTACATAAAATACAATAATAGTGGAGATTATCTTGCATCAGGTTTATCAAGTGGAACTATTTTAATAATTGATAATGATACTAAAAACGTCATAAGGAAACTTCAAGGTCATATAAGAGCTATTCAATCACTGAAATGGTCATCTTGTGGTCGTTATTTACTTTCTTCTTCAAGAGATTGGAAATGCTTATTATGGGATTTGAAATTTAATAAAATTATTAAAAAATTTAATTTTAATGGACCAATATGGAATGCAGAATTTAGTTCTAAAAACATATCAGATATAGTTGTTGCTCTTTATGATAATACACCTAAAATAATTGATGAAACACATGGAATAAGAGATTTAGATGATGATAAATCACTTGTTACAACTTTCCATCCAGATGGTGAACATATATTTATTGGTACAAATAAAGGTATAATTAAAATAATTTCAAGAGAAACTTTAGAAGTGTTATTTACTCAAAAAATTTCAAATTCAAGTATAAAAAATATTGTTATATCAAGTAATGGTAGAAAAATGGCAATTAATTCATCAGATAGAATAATAAGACAAATAACTTTACCAGAATTTTCTACTGATTCATCATTATGGGAATTAGAAACAGATCATAAATATCAAGATGTTGTTAATAGACTTCAATGGAATTCAATTTTATTCAATAGTAACTCTGAATATTTAATTGCTTCGGCATTTGGATCTGCTCATGTTATTTATATGTGGGAAACTTCAATGGGTTCATTAGTTAAAATTTTGGAAGGACCTAAAGAGGAACTGGTTGATATTGAATGGAATTTTAGAAAATGTATAATTGGTGCAACCGGTATAGATAGTGGTACTATTTATTTATGGACTTTAGTTATACCTCAAAAATGGAGTGCATTAGCACCAGATTTTGTTGAAATTGAAGAAAATATTGATTATGAAGAAAAAGAAGATGAATTTGATATTGTTCCAGAAGATGAAATAAATCAAAAACAATTGAATGAAGAAGATGAGCTCATAGATATTATAACAAAAGATAAAACGGATGCTAGAGGTTATCAATTGGATAAACCATTCGTTGTTGACATATGTTATGATCAAATCGAGTTGAGCGAAGGTGAAGAATAAATAACCCCCTAAATATAGTGAGATTATTTCTTTGATATAATCTGTATAAATAATAAAACCTGATATGAGCTATTTGATACTTAATATCTATTGTTTTTTTTGCAAAATTTAAATATTCTTAAACCTAAAATCAAATATGATCTCATATGCACTTAAACGCTAGCCAGGCACAGAATCTAATCGTTTCTTATTTTAGAATATCTAGATCAAGTGTATCACTAGATTGTTATTTATTAATATTATTTAATTATTTTTTTTTAACAGCTATATTAATAAAATTATATATATATTTATATTATAATTTATAGACTACAAGTTAACTTATATTAGCTACCGCTGCAAATATAATCTTGATCATATATATATCTAGACTCATACCTGAATACCCAAAAATTCAATTCGGGGGCCGTTATATATAATCCTTAATTGATGAGTACGTCTTATATTGTACACAAAAGCATTTTCAAATCAAATATCTGGGGACTTCAATCAGCATTAATACTTGATAGTCTACTTAATTCCATACTTAAAAGTCATTTGGGAAAGATTCTTAGGAGCGTATGCACAAGTCTTACAAATTAGATCAAAATAATAAGACTAATCATGCAATATTGTAAGAAGTTGTTATATGAGAAGGATCTTAAATCTGGGGTAAAAAATGTATAAAATATTTGATCGTGCGTTTCTTATATCATTTTTATTGATCCTGTAAAATAATAGTCTTATGTAGGCAATATATTGAAGAAAAAAGAACTTCAGATTTTCAATCAGTCCCATATGCAAATACCAATTCTAGGTGGACTTTCAAACATCAGGACGTTAATGAACAGTGGGATCAGTGGATGCTATCAGTTACGGTTCGCGCTTTTGATATATGCATACGCGATCATGTACACAAAAAGATTTTCTGAATTATTACCATAAATATCGTGGTTGTGTCAAGTTAACTGAATTACATGAATTAGTGATTGTTTTGTGCTAACTGGTGTGACTTGAGATCTCTACTTTGTGGCTGACTCCCCAAATTTATTATAAAATGTCCCAATTTTCCAAAAGATTTATTTTCCTTCACATCATTCCCCCTTTTAATTATCTTATCAACCACCATTATCAAGCTGTCAAGAAAGGTTTCAATCATTTTATACGCCAATATGAAGGCTAGATTATCTACTTGGAACACAAGAAGGACTTTCTTTGTTCTTATTTCTCATGTTTAATATGTTCTTTCGTTACAGTGTGTTTTATAAGATATACTGGGTTGACTTTCTATTATTATTGAAATTGCTGCTTAATTGGCTAATTAATTATGGATGTTTTTTCTCTGTTGGTTTTCCGCTATAACAGTATCCAAATATTGTTCTTTTGAGAGGATTTATCAGTAAATTGGAAGATCTTAACAGATGGGTTATGATACAACTTTTGGATTTGAACTTTGAAGTGATTTCGGTACCACATGGAAATGTGATTTCATCCAGACTCTTCATTTAATAACTCAATTTATTGGTATTCTTGCATCATCATGATCTTCCTCGTTTCCAAGATTGATGTATTTAACAACATACAAATAGAAAGAAATCGTTACTATCAATGATCAAGTATTACATGTTATTAAGCCAAGCTGAGATAATTGACCAATCTTCAGCTAATTCATAGGGTCACGAGGATCATTGGGCGTGGCTACTGGTCACCAAAAAGTCTTGGGATCTGTGAAATATGCTACTTCTAAAGAATAATCTTTAGCTACAGAAGAAAAGTTGAATAGCATAATGGTGCTCTGGAATGGGGTAGAAGGTCGAACTATGTTAGAGTTTCACGTAATTTTGTTAGATAAACAGGACATTCACTGATTGTTAGGTCCTGGTTGAACTGGGAAAAGAAGGAGTGTTATATCTTGAATTATTACATACTATTTTGATGTATAGTTTATGGAAAAAGGGAAAATGAGGTTATCAATTACTTACAAATCGTGGTGTTACTTGTAAATATAATATTAGATATTTTCCATAGAGAACATGATATTATTCATGAAATTTTTGGATTAATGGAAAGAAAATCAAATATATTTTGCTATTCGTATATTTTGGTATCACTGGAGTTTGAAATATATTACAAATTATGGATTACTCACTCAAAGGACGGGCCACCACCATATTATTACACCAGGGATTCAATCTGGAGAATGTCAACTTTCAACTCATGTTGATATTTATGTTGATACCTCAAGCAGAATATCCTCAACTTGATCTAAGTATATTGAAACCCAAATTTATTGCTCGAATAATATAGTATATATGTATTAGAATGAAGAATCTATTATATAAATATAAAAAGGTGGGAAAAAAAAGCAGACCATTTTTGTAAAGTTAATCATAAAGTCAATTGTATTCAAGACAACTCGATTGAAGTCTAATCATTTACAAAATTCTTATCAAAGAATCATACCACGATGTTAAAACCTCTTATGGAACAACTTTACAGTTTTTATCGTAAGGAATTTCAGACAATTTGATTTTGACCTAAGAATTATACATAAGTTCAGCAAAATTGTTAATAAAGAACATAAACTTCAACTAAATCATATTGTCGCTTCCAATAATGTTACATCCAAAACAACGACTACATCTATCATTATCAGCATCAGAGTCCAATCTTATAATAAAGAATAGAGAAACGGCTTTTTGAAAAATCTGTCTTTCCAGATTGTGATTCATATTTTGAAACTTAAAATTCACAGAGTTCATTGCAAGATCAATGTGGAGCGGAAATTACGATAAGCCGATTGATTATCCTTGTTGTGTGATATTTATTAATTAAGTGCTGATAATGTGATCATTTATAGATATACTACTCATAAAGGGTAAACAATTAAGAATAACTATATTATAATATATACTTTGATAACTCTTATGAACGTAAAATTATTTCTTTCTCGTATATTTATTGCCAAACAGAATTCCGCTTTGTGTTATTCTTAGATACTTCATTTTTTAAGTTTTCTAAATGAACGGTGGGTATCTGAATATTGCTTATCTTAACTTGGATTGTTTAACAAAATTGACTCATTATAATCACTGTCAAAATTCTTTACGTCAATTGACATTAAACCTAGAGTTATAAGCTGAAATGTGTCATCGGCCTCTTTGCTGGATCTATCCTATAAGTTTGTCATCTGTGTTATTTATCTCTTTTTCACTAAGTCTTTTGAGAAAATGTTATTTCAGAAATAAGCTCTTATGCTTTACTAACTGCAATTATTCACATGGTAGCCCTTTTCGAAGAACGGCTTAGTTCAGTAATTAGACTTACGCACACTGACTCTTTTCAAAAGCAAAAGAAGACTACCGGTTCAAAGTTAGAAGACTAATGGATGCTACCTTGAGGGTCATGATGTTTGGAAACTAGAGAGGGTGAATAAATTATGAGAATTTAATAAGAGTTATAAGCAACAGCTTTCCCAATATTTGAACTGTCTGAGCAAAATAAAAGCGAATAAAACCGTAATACAAAGGTGCAAACAGAACATATTTAGCGAGTAAATTCGTTGAAGTTGGCGTCACGGGCTCCCGCAGTTTGCACGCTTCATTCTCTTCTTCCCTTTAGATTTACTTTTCAAGCACCTTATAGATGTTTGCCAATACTAAGTATAGTTGCTCTTAGTTGAACATACTATAGCCATATATATATGCTTCACTCAAACCAAATGTCTGTCCCTGATGAAATGTGCTCATAAGCAGTTAGTTCTGCAGTTCATGCAACTATGGTAGGTTCAGTTTCATATCTACATAAGCCTTAAACATCTAACTTATTTGCTACAGGTGTAATCATCGCTAGGGGTTCATATCGATTAGGCTCAAAGTGTCACAAGAGGCTGCCAGTATGCATCTTATCGACTCACTAGGTTGAATGAGAGAGTTTATAGTCAATTAATGCCTTTTATTTTCGGTCTATTGGAGGCTAGAGATACTGGACACACACAACACCTGTAGCCATTCCTCTTAATTTCACGATCCTCATATATTTTATACAAAACTAATAGCTGGATGTTACTTTTTAAATAGATTCCTTCTTGCTTGATCCATATATTGTAGGTAAAGGATGGTAGAACGTATTGTACAAATATTTTACTCCTAAATACTACATTTAACTTATGTAGAAAATTTGATCTATGTATATTCATTTTTTCTGGGGCTGATTTTTTTATTTCATTTAATTACTTAATTCTTAATAACTTCTAATTAATATGCCATTTATTTCTTCTCAGCTACATCAATATCCCACAAGTTTAGATATTACATTTGATATTCCTTTAGATCATGCATATTTACATTCTTTTATTTAGCTAACACCCCACGACAAATATTTTAGTTAATATCGGGAAATAACATCCAACACCATTAGTCAATATTGCTGTACTGTGAACCCACATTCTTGGTTTATACAAAATGTTCGTCCAGAGTAGTCCAACTTCATGTTAGATACTTAGCACTGTATCTCGAGTACACACAGATCTCTGTGGATAATGAAGAAGCAACAAAATTAATATAGAGAATACTCAATGTATAGAATTCAAAGATGCACTATATCATGAAGAAATGATAGCAAAGGATGATTTATGATGCAGAAATATGACTTGTAAGGACTAGTTCAAGCATCGGACTAACACGTATCACACCTAGGAAATAAAGAAGGAGGATATGGTTCAGGTGTTGAATGTTATGATCCAATATCAAAAGAAATGTGATTATAAATGATTAGAAATGGTATGATTATAAATGGTGCAGATTAAAAGAAATGTTAAAAAGAAATAAATGAATTTAGTATATTGTCGTGTGATGTTAGTTATAGAAAAAGCAA